CAGACCCACACCCCGAAGGGCACCTTTGCTCCATCTGATTAACGAAACTTAATCCTGATGAAGAAAGATGCTTCTGAGGGAAGCAAGAGGCCTTCAAAACACAAACAAACCCTCCTGCACAGAGAGGCTGTGTGCAGGTCAGCTTTCTGCTACAGGAACACTTTATATGCTTGTGCCCTCAAAAAATCTTTAAAGCAAAAGGAATTTCAGTGGGATTGAGCTCTTGGTGTTTTCCTGACCTGATATGCTAGAGATCTGGCTCACAGGGATTGTAGCAGCTTTCTGCAAGTTTGTTTTTATCTTCTTCACCTGGAGAACAAACAAACAAACAAACAACTTTAAAATCCTTTCTAAACAAGTATATATCTGTAACAGTTTGGATGAGCAGAGTGGTAACAGAGGCTGCTACAACAGTTTTTTAATTTTTTAAAATGAAAACTATCCTGTTTACCCTAGAAATTAAGATAATCTCTCTTCAACAGTATTAATAATTTGTTCATACCTCAGTGTTGCTTTTGCAGTTTGCAATTTCACTGAAAGCAGCAACACATTGCTCAGCTGCATCCTGAAGCTGCTGGTACCACTGCATGATACTTTCTTCTGTTTTAAACTGAAGTCCTGTTATTAAAAAAAAAAAAAACAAAAAAGATAGTAACTCAGAAAGACTAAATCTCTAGTGAGAAAATGAATTTAAAAAAATGCAAGTCAAAGGAATAAAAAAGATTTTTAAAAAAGCCTAACCAACCTTCCTTCTGCTTTTCCCCTGTTTGTTGTGCAGGGGCAGGAGTCTGACTCTTCATCTGCTCTTTCTTCTCTAACTCTTTCTGCTTTTGTTTCTTTTCCTCTTCATCTTTCCTCTTCTTTTCCTCTAGTGCTGCAGTGATTTCCTGCTGCATGCTGGATATCAACCCTCTCATCTCCTGCAGGGCTCGTTCAGTGCTGGCCACATCTGCTTGAGTTGGGAACCCTTTCTGCCAAGAAACATGAGAGGTGACACAGCATTGACCTTTGGTTTGAGGGTAAGAGGGCCATCAGCAAGCACAAGGAGCCTTTGAAGCATTTGCCTTCAGATAATCTGGGAGCTAACTATGTATTTTATCCCCATCTCCCTTATTTGTACATAACATTAGTCATTATATTTGTAAATAATGCAAGTCCATGACTAAATCTCCTAAGATCTTGGACAACAAAAATTAAGAATACACTTGGACAAGTGCAAGTGAACTCCAGTGCAAAGCCTTGACAGCTCCCTCTGCTGAAAGCCAGCTGTGACAAGCTGGAACACAGGATTAGCCTTATTAGTGCTTTATCTTTCAAGATTTGTATCCCATCCTAGAAAGAAAAAAAAATGTCAAGGAAAGCCAGCTACTGCAGAAAAGCTCATGAAGAGAGGAGAATCTTAAGATGTTCAGTATTTAACAATTCACTTAACAGAAGGAACTTTACAGCACCACGAGTTTACAACAATTTAATTTGAATCTTTCTCCTGTAGAAGTTCTCATGCATTTTGATAAGCCATTTTCAAGAGAACAGTTGAAGTGCCAGAGGAAAGAATTCCCCTTTGAAATTGGGTGCTTTATAGGATGAATATCTAAAAACATTGCTGTGCCATCTTATTTAAGGGCCCCATGACAAGCTGCTTGAAGACAACTACAGAGCTTTAGGAAGGGATGACAGCCCAAGCCAACACCTGCAGAGCCTGTACCTCGCTCGTGCTGCGGATGAGCCCTGACACCAGCCCACAGATCTGGTTGCCACGGTTGCTGTAGGCAGACAGATCAATTCTGGGCAAGTCTTTGTGCCTGTAGTTGGGATCAATCTGCTGGTTCAGCTGCAGCAGCTCCTCCTGGATGGAATAGAGGCGCCGCAGCCTCTCCTGGCCCTCCTCCTTGCGCAGACGTTCCAGCTCCTCCTGCCGCTGCCTCTGCTGCTCTGCCTCACGCAACTTCAGGTTCAATATCTGGGGAGACAAAGACACAAGAGTCATAAAATACCTCAATAACTCCAGTTGTACAGCTCCTTCTCAGTCTGATGGCTCCAGCTTTACAGGGCCGTGCTGTTCCTAGGACACAAGTGCCTTTACTGCATTTCCACACTGTAGCACGTACCCAGGATAGCACCAGAAAATCCATCCTCCCTTCAGAGTGTCACGAAAATACAAATAAATCAATTGGTCTTTCCAGTTCCCACCCAGCAGTCATGGTCTTTTATGAAAGACAATTCTTAGGAGTCTCAGACCTTTGCTCTATGTCGGTGTTCTTCCTTCAGCTTCTCTTGCTGTCCCTGAGCCTCCTTTGAGCTACAACACACATAAAGACAGAAAAACTGTATTCAAGACATTCAGGAGACAAAACACAAACCAACACACAGGAAGCTATTCTTAAAACAAGCTAAAGGAACTTTAGCTGTCACAAATGTTGCCTTTTTCTAACCACTGAAACCTCCACAATAGCCAGACATCTACTCTGACAGCCAAACTCTAATAGTTAATGTAAGACAAACAGCAGGTGAGATTTCCAACCACAGGTGACTAGCACAGAATTGTCAGAACAGGAATTAATCTGCACTTGAACTAAATGCTATAAAATTCTACTGATACCAGAGGTAACCTCACCTCTTCTCCATTACTTCTTGCAACTCCTGGAATTCCTGATGCCGCTTCAGCTCCCTCAGTTCATCGAAGCGCTTCAGCTGCTCGCTGGCCTGGGCATAGGCTGCCCTCACCATCTGCTCCTGCTCCTCCAGCCGCTGCCTCAGCCTCTCCTGCGTTACAAAGGTACTCACTGAACAATGTGGACACAAGAAAACACAAACTAAACTGCCCAACATTTATAACTTGCTGTTCTTGCATGGTTACCTCTGACTGTGGAGCTCTTCTGTGATTCACAGATACCCTCTCAATCATTTTTTTCTTACCTTTGCTTTCAGCCTGTGCATCTCTTCATACAACCGAATGCAGCCTTCAACTTTTGCAACTTTAGATGACAGAACTGCTGCTGGAACAACTTCTTGCTTTGTTTCCAGGAGACTAAGATGATCATTTTCCTGCATGGTAAGCATAAAAGCAAAATCAGCAACTAAGCACAGGATCAGCAACTCATGGAGGAAAACAGAAAAAGCAGGTCTCCTAAACTATTATTTGCCCAGCTTCCTACCCTTCTGCCTTGTAAAATAGAGTCAGAATACATGTAAGTCTCTCAATGACTCCAGAGAACCCAGTGTGGTTACTCATGGAGTTTTACAACAGTCCTGACCCTCCTCTGTGACCCTATGGATGAGTCCTGTGCTGCTAATCCATAACACAACAGAGCTCCAACTATTTTCCTCAGTTATGGTGAAAAATGGAGTTTGCTTTGGGTCCACTGTGAAACATTTTTCTATGTACATCTTGTTAATACTAACTTCATAATCACCTGTTCATATCACAAAAAAATTAAAACTGAGGATGTTTTCCCAATAAATTAACAGAGCTCAAAACAGCCTTGATCTGACAATTTATGACAGCAAGTGAGGATTTTATTTTTTCTCACAGCTGCTCCAAAAAAATATGGATTATAATCAGAGAGCTACCTTGGTCTCACTGGGCTCTGCAGATGAAGGTGGGGATGAGCTCCGGTGGCTGCCAGGCGGGATCTTCTCCGCAGATGCCCGTTTTGGGAGCGGGGTGGATTGATTGGGCGTTGAAGTCTCGGAGGGAGTGATTTCCTCTGCCAATTGCCCACTAAGGCTGTCCAGCACCCAGCCGCAGTAAGGGGAGAGCTCAACGGGAGCCACACATCCTTCCAGGGCAGCCTTGAGAGAAAACATTCCCCGTGAATTATTTAATTTCAATAAAACTTTAACACACCACGAGCACACCTGCACAGTTAGTAGCTGCTTTATCATCGCAGCTCAGTATCCCATTTAACCCTTTTTTCTGCTGTCTTTCCAACACTTTTCCCGGACTATCCAACTTTCGCGGGACGTTTGAACTCCCTCGGACCAGCCCCGCTCCCTGACCCGGCGCTCCCAAGCCTGGACCCGTTCTGGGGGTACTTCAAGCCCTCAGTGTCACTGGGATGAGCGATCGGTGTTTCCCTGGACCCGCTCTGGGGGTACTTCAAGCCCTCAGTGTCACCGGGATGAGCGGTCGGTGTTTCCCTGTTCCCGCTCTGGGGGTATTTCAAGCCCTCAGTGTCACCGGGATGAGCGGTCGGTGTTTCCCTGTTCCCGCTCTGGGGATATTTCAAGCCCTCAGTGTCACCGGCATGAGCGGTCGCTGTTTCCCAGCGGGCAGGGCCGGCTCCCGGGGCGCGCCCTCACCTCATCCTCCTGCCAGTGGCTGCAGTAGCTCAGCTGGCCCTTGCTGGAGAGGCGCAGGGCCTCCAGAGTGTCGAAGCGGAGCTGCCACGACTCCATGACGATCGTGCACTGGCCCAGGGGCTCCCTCACGGCCCCCAGGGTCCCTCACGGCCGGGCCGGCCCCATCCCGCCCCTTCCGGGCCGCGCTGGCCGCATCCGCCGCGTGCGGGCGGGACGGGCGGTGCCGCCCCCTGGCGGAGAGGCGGGGCCCGGTGCACGGCCGCGGGTCCGAGTCCCGCCCCCGGCAACACTGCGCTAAGGAGCGGGCCGGAAAACAGCCGCGGGTTCACCGATTTCCCATTTATTCTGTGTGTTCTTGCCCAGAGCTGCCTTGTGCTGCAGAAGCAGAGGGAAGGCTCCATCCGTGAACCACAGAAATAGTTTGTAATTCAGCTGCTTGCACCAACAGCTCTGGGTGTGTTTGCTTTTCCAACTTCACAGCACCTAAAGATGAAATCCCCACCATCACCAATTAAAATGTAGTTTATTGGTTTCTTCCCCAGCACTTCTGGGATTTTTAAAGTGCTAAACACGCACAATTACAGATCTTTCGAAAACTTGATTAGTTTAGAAAACTTTCATGGCAAATACTGCCAGTGACCATATCACACAGCATATAAATAGGATACAAAAGAGAAAAAAAATAAAAACAAGTTTATTTTTGTCCCCCTAAGAGCCATTTAGTAGAAAAAATAGGACACCAGAGAGCACACGGACTTTAGAGACTTGAAACACAAAAGACCCGATTTTCCAGAAGATGCAGGAGAACTTGATGAAGTTGAATACATCCAGCTGCTGGCTTAGTTGGCTTAAGGCAAAGTCAGGATTTCACACACCCCCAGAACTCACATGGCATTTGCACCAAGATCTCAAATGAAATGACACTGATTTCCTTCAAATTTAATTGTTTTGGCTCAGTCCTGGGTGGGTATAGTCAGGATCAGAAAATCAGGGTAAGAGGAGTAAAGCAACATTAGTATCACACTCACAAATAAAGGTAAGGATCAGGGAGTATATAAGAATCAAGTATAAAAAACCAAACCAAACTCATAATTTCTGGTATAAAATTGTTACAAACACTGTGGTTATGCAGGAGACTATTTCTTGTGAGTGTAGAGCCCAGGCACCTCAGTTATTTTCAGCATCACACCGACAGTATAAAAAAACTATTTTAAAAAACCCCCACATGATCTCCCCAACAGTGCAACTGAATGAGAAGTGAAGCACAAAGAGAGCTCTTACAAGAATTAACACACTCAACAAACCTCTGACAGGTTTTAAGAGCTGAAACCATCATGACCTAACAGGAGGAAAAGGATCTTTTCCATTATATGTAAACCACCTGGTTTTGGGGCTCAGTTTATGGTGTAACACCAACCTCCAGCACCAAACCAGTATTGCTGATATTGTCTGATACCCCACATTTTGATCAGATGCCAACACAATTTTATTTTGTTACTCTACAATAAAAACATCTCCCCGCAGTGACCCTAAAATGCCATTTAGTTTTCTAAATCAATATGGCTTTTGAAACAAAGCTTCTGTGCGCTTTAAAAAGGTGCAAGGAAAGCATTGCTCTCAGAGAAGAGAGCGAGTGGGGCTGAGGGAGGAGCCCAGTAAAGGACATTCCCTAAAAACGTTGTCGTAGGAAGACTTGAGGAACTGGACGTAGTTCTGCATGCTGCGGTTGGTGCTCTCCGACTGCTCCAGCCGATCCCGCAGGTCCTGGAGGCGGCTCTCGTATCGGCGCTCTGCCTGCACAGGGGAGCAAGAATCCGGCTGAAAGGCAGCAACATTCACTCTGCTGGTGTTAAACTCTTCCCCCAAAGTGCTGAGGAGAGCCAGAATTAGCACAGCTCGAGATGACATTACCATAGATGGTGCTGTGATATTTATAATTTCTGCTCGTTCTCAACTCCATTCAGCAATCAGCTGATAAAAGCAGGAGATAATGTGGCTTTCAGTTGGGCTTTTAAAATGTGTTAGCTGTAGTTACCGGGAATGAAACACACCTTTTTGTGAAAAGGAACTTAACCTGATCCATCAGCTAACACAATTCCAAGTAAAACTAAAGCAAGGAAGCAAGATAAATAGGACAGGACAAAAGATTGCCAGTCCTCTAGAAGAAATCCTTTCATCTAGAAGGGGAATTGCACTCTCTCTGATACAGGCAAAATGAAGTTAAAATCTGTCCATAATACCTGGTGCAAATCTACTTTGAACACAAGGAAAGTCTGATTCTTTTCTTACACACACATAACTTTACACCAGGTTCACTCACATAGTTGTACTCTGACGTGCCTATCACTTACTACACAATCCTGAACTGGCAATATGTCCTATATCACACATCCATGGACACACACAACAGCACATCACGTTCAGGCACAGCTCTGCATGACTTCAGCAGCACATCCACAGGATGATTTATGGAATCCAATTGTTGCCAGGGCACCACCAGTACAGCAGGACTATCCCCCACAAGCCACTCACATCGTCTTTGCTCCGATGCAACTGGTTCAGCTCTGTTTTATTCCTGCTCAGCTGGGTCTCCAAATCCAACACCTTGGACTGGGCTGCCCTCTCTCTGGAGACTGCTCGTTCTCGAGCTTGTTCCACCTAAACAGAACAACAACTTTGTTAAAGGGATGTCTATGGAAGAATGTTTTTCCCTTACCCATTGCCCACAAAAACCCTTTAAAGTTTAAGTGACACACTCTCATACATAAACAGCAGCTCAGTCTTGTGCTTTTCTCTGTTGTAAACCAAGTTCAGTTCTTCAACAGTGCTGACAAATAGCACCAGCACATTATTTGTATTTCACTGAACATGATGATTTTACTGGGTTTGATCATAAACTGAGAAGATATTTTCAGCACTCTCACTGTTCCCCTTTCACAGCCTGGGTAGCTTTGGGTGAATTCAGAACCATGAAAAATGACTCACTTGTCTTTTGGCATCCTCAATGGCCATCTCCAGCTGGCGTGCCAGGGAGCTGCACTCACGGCTCTTCTCCTCCAGCCGCAGCTGACACTGGTGGATCGACTCCTCGCGTTTTGCTACGACCTGAAGGAATTCTATGTTCTGGGCACTCGTGGATTCTAGTTTTCTAGTTTAAGACAATAAGGGAAGGAAACCTATTCATTTTAAATGGAGTGTGTTTCATTCTGTCTCTTGTCAGGTCCTGACTCCTCTGGTAATAGATTCTATTCCCTCTTGAAAGGTGAGAGCCCCAGGAAATGTTCTCCAGTCCTCAAATCAAAATTTCAAATATTGAAGGACCAACAGAGTACCCGTATACCTGCATTTTCTGAGACATTGGCACTAAAAGAAATGCATAAACATAGGTAAAAATACTGTAGTATCTAGTAACCTCAGAATTGCCAGGCTAGATTGGACAATGAGCTCATTTCTTTGCTGTCTAAGCCATCATCCTGTCTAACAACATTCACAACAGGTGCTGCTGCAAAAGCATATAACTCTCAGTGGATAGCTACAGATTAGAGAACCTTGTGGGATAGGCAAATGCACAGAATCCTGGAGGCATGTGGGGAACTGGAACAAGACTGAAGCTGTTTCAATCCCCTGTAAAAACAATGGAAATGGAAGGTTAAAAAAGCAAGAGAGCCTAGTATTTCTAACCTTTCTAGCTCCTCCACCTTCAAGGTGAGTTGCTTTTTCTCCTCTTGGGCAGACTGATATCTCTCTCTTGTCATCTCCATTTTGTCCCCCTGGAGGTCAATCTAAAATTATAGGAATTAATTACTTCACAGAGCAGTCACTACACACACACATGTCCAGCCATCTAAAACATATGCAACTCTCAGAAGGAAATATGTTCCATTCATAACTTCTGGAGAGCTTCAGAAAGGGAGCCATGGACAGAAAGGAACTAAACATCCATTTTGCTGATGCTTACAGTCTGGGAAGGTGTAGGAAAACTCATCTGTACTGCAAAAGAAAAAAGAAGGCCTGTAAATTCCAGCAGCTACAAATCAAGCACACACACAAGGACAGCAGCCACAAACATGCCAGCAGCCCACAACAGCATCAGAGCCTGAAACACCAGGGAGGGTTATAATTCCAAACCAAGCAGACTAAAGAGGTCAGAGAGAGATCATGTGCTGTTGTGAGGCACAGCTGTAGATGTCATCCCTGTTTGAAATTGTCCTGCAATACTTACACACAGTCTTTCTGGGAACAAAAAACAGAAACTGGGAAAACAACCTGAAATGAGAGTGAGAAAATAGTTGGGCCAGCACCATCACCAGAAAACTACAGCAGGGGAAGTTGACAAGAGGATGAGATAACAGAAACAAGGGCTGGCATTAGCAAGTGCTGCCATGGCTGCTAACAAGTCCCAGAAAGATTCTGCCCCAAGGGACGAGAAACCTTTCAAATATCAAAGAATGCTACCAGCAAAGCCGCTAACTTCTTGCACAAAGACATGGCACACACCTTTATTTTGCAGTGCACGTTTAATCTTTTCAAAAAGAGACGAGAACGGAGCCGAAGTTTGAACCTTGCCGTGATTAGAACTCAATCGGATTTCGCAGAGCTCTGCACTGGTACGGGTACTTTCTGCCAGTCCCTTACCAGCTGACGGAGATCTGAAATCATGTCACACAGGTCCCCGTTCTTCTTCTCGTAACACATGAGCTGCTGATGGCACTCGGCCAGCTGTGTCTCAGTGTACTTCAGGATCTCAGGCAGCTTCTCCAGTTCAGCAAGCTGGCTCTGGAACTTCTGACGAGTCTGTAATTAAGGAAGAGAAGGTGAGGAACTTTCAAATGTTCATAGGATCAAGACTAAAAAAATTCTCAACTTCAATTAAGCTTTGTTAGTCCACAATAATGATGACACTGTGTGGAGATTTGGCCAGTGCTGGAGTTCAAAGCCTAAGGTCTTTTCCTGCTCCAAAAAACTTTCACTTAGGATCTGAAATTCCCTATGGATTGTGTAAGAAGGAGTATTTTGGATTGTGGGCTTCAATTTTACTGGAAATACAAGCTCTGCTTCTGAGGTTAGCTGTTCCACATTAGATAATGGTGTAACCTATCTAATCCACTGTTCAAAACCACTATTTCTGCAGCAAAGGACACACTAAGTAATTTATACAACTCTGAACAATGCCATATAGTCAGGAAGAGGCTGCTAAATATTCATTCTGCAAAACCCATTGAACAAGTCCTGAGAAAAAACTGATGCAAAAGGCAAGATAAGCCTTTTATTTCCTATTCCCAGCTGTTTTTCACTAGACTCAGAACGCTAAGACCCATAAATGTCTACAACATGTCTTTAGAGGGACAGTTACCTCTTCAATCTCCCTGTTCATTTCATCCCTTAAGGTCTCGTTCTCTTTTTCACACTTCTCCAGTCTTGCTGCTAGTTCATCTGCCTCCTTTCGGGCCATCTGTGCCTGGACATTCAAAAAAAGACCCCAGACTTCATCTGTTATAAATAGTTTTCAACACATGTTTGCAATGCCTTGGAGTAATTGAAACTGCTCCAGCTGGCAATAGCTAAGGCATTACAGAATAAGCCACAGAGGAAGGAGAAAACACCTTTGTGCAAGGGCTGAAGGTTCTGAGACCTACCTGTGCTGTGTAGGTTTCAATCAACCCTTCGTAGCTCCTGACAGAGTTCTGGAGATGTTGCAATTCCATCTGTGCCTGGTTCAGTTTGTCCTCCATTGAAATCAGAGCAGCCTGAAAAAAAGAAAGCATCTTCCATTGAGTGCTTGGAAGTATCTGCCATGTGAGCTGTCTAATGATGCCTAGACTAAGAAAATACAGTTTTGTCCATGCAAGTTGCCAAAACTTTCCAGACTTCAACAGACTGCCAAATTTGCATCAGCAGAGCACAGAGGTTTGGGATGGAAAAAAAGATGTAGGTCACCCACAAGATCACTCATGGTAAAGGACAACAGAAGAAATATGTCAGTCATTTTTTTTGTTCTGGAGATTACCATTCTCTCTGTATGAGCTACAACAGCTACAACAGCTGTTTGTTCTCCGGTCAGCAGCATGAAGGTGTAAGGACAAGATTCAAGATCCCAGGCTAGATGAAGCAGTAGTTGGAGATACTTGTAGCCAAAACATGGAAGGAACACGGTCTCCCAGTGTGTACACTCTCTGTGTCTGCTCCCAGCACACTGGCCCTGTCTCAGGTTATATGAACTGGTTTAAACTGTACAGGAACAACGGGTGAGATTTGACTCTGTCCTCGGTGGCCAAGCAAGTTGTTACAATTCCACCTTCTTTTCCTCCTAGCATTTCATCTTCAAACCCTTAGAGTCACTGACCTTCAGTTTTTCATTGTCTTTCTTCAAAGCACTGTTCTCTCCAGTCAGTTGCTGTAGTTTATCCACCAAAGCTTCGTTTTCGTCCCGTGTCTGTTCCTGGATCCTTGCCAGTTGTTCCGTCAGGTCTGCAACACGGCTGCCACACAGAAAGAAAATTAATCCCTAAGTGACAAGAAGAGTAAGGCTCCTAACCTTTGCAAACCAGCTTCAGGAACATGGCTTTTCCCTATCCTTTCATCTTCCTTCTCCAGTCATGTATGCACACCTCTCTGTTAACATGGTTTGACTATTTCAATCTTTTTATGCCTCCTGGAAATTCACTGGAATTGTCCCCCTGGAGCGCAAATGAATTGTCTCAAAGATGGACAGGATAAAGATTTGCCTCTCTCACCTCATACCTACCAAATTTTCCCTGCAGCAACACCTGTACTGCAATGATACCAACATATTTATTTACCTTCACAACAAAACTGGCATCAACTATACTACTTATGTCTTTTCATATCTTCCATTACAGTTATTCAAAAAGATCTCAAAACAAAAATAATCTTAATTCAAAGCATTACAAAATGGCAAAAGAACAGTTTTAAGAGTCAGCAAAGCTTAAAGAGTCTGCCTTTGCTGTGGCAAGGCAGCAGCAGAAGTCACATATCTCTCTCTACCTCTTCAAACTCTGCTCTAGCCCTTAGCCAGTGCTGATTTTGCTTGGTTGTTAACAAGCAATCCAATTAAAATATTCATTTCAATGCTATTTTTCAATTAAATTACCCTTGAACTTTGAACTCATCCCCACTCATGCTTCTCTCTCTGCACTGATTTTACTCTAACCTGTTCAGTGTAACAACTTCCAGTTCAAGGTCATCCTTCTCCTTCATGGCTTTGCTGCAGCGATTCCTCCAGGCCTCGAGATTGCACTGGGCCTCAGCAATAGCACTTTCCTGTCAGACAAGGGAAATACAAGACGGGAAAAAAGTAAGGCAAAATCACCACTGGTGTGAGATATACAGACAATACACAGAAATGCCCTTAACTTAGGTCATGCAGTGAATACAGCGACAGCTGAGCAAACTGGATTTGTTCTAAACTTGGCATAAATGGGCCATGGCATCAAGACAGAAAAAAATTTCATTAGTCGAGAGAAAAGACTCTCCCCATGGCTGCTACTAGAAGTCAAGAATTTAAAATCATGACCTCAAACTAGGCCCCTTCTGTTCCAGCAGGTACCTTTTCTGCTAGCTGGGCAGTCAGTTTCTGCACATAATCCTCACTCCGCTCCGCCCGCTCTTTCTGTGCACGGACTGCTTTCTTCAGGGCCTCTTTATCACTCTCTGCTTTGCACCTCAGGTCTTGCAGCTGCTCCAGAAGACAGTCCATCTCTCCCTTAGTGTGATTTTCACTGATCTCCATATTCTGCAAGGGAACAAAACCACAATATGGATTAATGCACATATTACACCTGCAAACCCAAAGCAGCAACTAATTTCCTAGAAATGGTGATGAGAACCAGGCACAAATCCCCAGTGTTCAGTCTGGAGGTATTTGCAGTCAGGTTTCATGTACACAACCCTGTCTAAATGCTGAAAGAGATGGCAGCATGACATCTTCCTTTTCTTCCAGGAGTCTTCTTCTTTCATAAACTGCTTCCTAAAATACTGATTTCTCTCCTGACCAATATAAATACTGTAACAGTCTTTTGATCTACCTGAGAAAATTCTTTTTATTGATGAAATGTTTGCATATAATAATGTTGCTTTATGCAGCTCTTACTAGAGCAGATTAAAGCTCCTTTAAACTATTAGCACATTTATGTTCCTTGTAACATCATCCCAACATATGCTAAATATAAAAGTCTAATCAAAATACACCAGAGGAACTTTCTCCTCCTCATTTATACTGGAGAACAGATTAATGAGGGTGGTCAAACTGGCACAGCATTTTTCCAAAAAATCAAATTAAATAGTTTCAGTTTGTCTTGATGCTTGACTAAACCAAAGCCATCTTTTCAATAATTATGGAGCAACTAACTTAGGAAAAACAAAATCTAATTAATGCACATAGACCTTAAGGCTAAGATCTTGCCTCAGGCCTCAAAAGTGAAAAGATTTATCTTTTCTTACTTAATTTGAAAATCACGCTGTGTGTTAATGCAATAAACATCACCAGCCAATATTTCAGTCAACCAGACTCTGTAAGAAGCTTTTGCTCCTCCCCTTGTGAGTGAATTCAGTCCATGAGAGCAAAGGAAGAGACAATCCCCAGGGAGCAGGGCAGCCATACCTGCAGCTGTGCAACCAGACGGTCATTCTCAGCTTCTCTGCTCCTCAGCTGGGCTTGTAAATGGGCCTTCACAGACTCCAGGGATCTGGCAAGTTCAAAGGCTTTCTTTGCCTGTTCCTAGATAAGCAAGAACAAGACAAATATGATTTACTCAACAAGCTAATAGAAGGAACACTTTATAATATGCAGTAGTAAGCTCAGATTTCTTCACTGAATGATCTCCAGCCACCCCCAGGTGGACTCTCACAGCTCTTCAGTCCAACAACAAGGGAACAAATGAGCAGCCATTTATTTTACAACACATGTGAAGGACTGGCATGAAAAGTATATTCTAGAGCAAAATATCTTTCATAGCTGATCTCTTCCACTGCATTCTCCCTTTACTTTTCTAAACTAAGGAACAGATTGGAATTTGCCATTTGGAACAAACAGGACCTTAAACAGGATGGCAATTCAGTGCCCAAGCAAAGAGAATTCTACCTATCCATTCCTGTCAGAGGTGTCTTATTAACAGAATATGGAACCCACAATAGTGTGAGTATTGGTATCTGCCTAGTTTTACAAGCAAGCTGGTTATCTGATCTCAAAACAGCAGTCTGCAAACAACCTCATCTTTTGGACTGCCTGGGGTTTTACAGAACTGGAAAGTAGAAAACTGAGGGAAAAACAGAAAAACAGAATTACCTTTTCTGCCACTATTTGAAGTGTGAGGGTTTCCACTTCTTTTTCTTTTCCCTGAAGCCTGATTTGAAGTTGCTGGAAAAAACAAACAAACATGCAGATTTCAGGAACAAACACATTTAGGATGGCAGGTAGAAGGCAAAAGGTGTAACTGCCTCCCTGTCAAGACCAACTGATCTGTGGCACGGCCTGCTGTTCACAACAACAGCATCCTCACCCCCACAAAAATAGGATGCATTCTACTCAAGCAGGAAGCAAAAGGGATACACATACATTTGTGCAACAGGGCACAGGATATCCAGTCAGGACCATATACACTCCACAGACTAAAAAGGGCATTTACCTATGTCTCACAGCAAGTTTTGTAGCTTCTGTAAATACAAGAACTCTTGTCTCAGTTTACAAAGAAGGAAATTAACAAAAAACTGGCACTCATTCAGGTAACTCATTCAGTGACAGAGCCCAATACACAGAATTATTCCCATTCTAAGTCCCCATATTTCGAAGGCAGTGAAACTCTACCCATATTTAAATGCAGGCTGTTAACCACAGGAGCAATGTAGTAGCTCTGATTGCCACAAAAACTCAAATAATTATTTTATTGACCTAAAAGGCACTAGAGTAAGATTTGACAGTGTAATATAAGACAAAGAAGGGCTTGTCATTTTAGATCTCTCTGCTGTATCATTAAAGAAATGAGAGATTGTGGTTTGCTTACCATATTCTCTGCATCCATGTCAGCCAGCCTTTTCAGCAGCATTGCTTGTCGATCCATAACCTTCTGGGCATCTTTCTACAAAATAAATGCATGAGAAAAATTGTTAACTAAAAAATCAATTTTATACAGGTTCTTTAAATGGAACTGGGAAAATCAACTACTTCTTCCCAGCTGCAGCAGCAATTCTTAGAAGATATACAGAAACATCACACTCACGAAATATTTCACGTATCAGTATCCAGCTCAGAAAGCTCTTCCACTTCCCAGTCAAAGATTAAAATAAAAAGCATGATGGCAATATAAGATCATTCTGAACTCTCCCACTACTCAGGGAAAATCATGTGGAAGAATTCAGACCTTTTATCCAATCTCATTGAAGGCTGAGGTAACTATTACCACCAGCCTGCTTTTGCTGAAATGGAATATAACCTACAGAAAAAATAGAAATTTCATTTTTCTATTACTCTTATTAACTGTAGATAATGGTTCTGTACATGCAGCACAGAATTGTTTCTGTTGCCCTCAGAGCCTACAAAATCAAAGTTCTGAATACCATAGGCTCCCATTAGCTGAGGCCATATCAAGTCCTCAGACGGCAGCAACAGCAGCATTTGAGACCAGCAGAATCAGCAGGTACAGCCATATCCAGTTGGCAATACAGAAGGGCTTGAACCTTTTAATGCAGTCAAAGACTTAGAGGCTCTACCATCCCCAGAGCAGAAAAGCCAGTTTTACTCTATTAGGCAGAGATAAAGAAAAAACCCAAGTAAAAACTAACCAACATTTATGGGTTGACAAGGTCTGCAGGGCTGGGAAAAAGAATTGAAAATTTCAAACGCAAAATTCCCTTCCAGCCCACGAGACAACACAGCCTCCTGTAATCAGCCAGGCTCCACACCCAGCAGTTCTCACCTCCCGAGACTGATGCTCTGCAAGAAGTTCTCGGAGTGTGCGGTTAGTTTCTTCAAAGGTGCTCAACTTCTGAAGCAGCAGCTCTTTTTGCCTCGTTAGAGCATTTATATCTGTGCTGCTCATGTGCTTCTCCTGAAGGAAAAACATTCAACAAACAAATGAAGAAACACAAATAAAGAAAGGAATGAGAAAAACAAAACACAGTAACTCGAAACCCACAAAACATAAACAAAAGGATGTAATTGTTCACTTCTCTGCAGAAGGTAACTGGAAGTAAATACCCCACTTCAAAACCAAACCAGCAAACCTTAAGGGTGGTTAAATTCCTCCACTTTTCCTTAGATTTTACTGGATTGGCAACTATAACATTACTTTTTTAAGACATCCATATAACAGGACAAAAGGTAAGAACAAAAAGGGATGCCTACAATGTTGAGTCTCCCAATGGTATTTCTCAGGGCATGGATCTGTCTGGCAGCTGCAGCTCCATCCCTTTCTGCTTCACTCAGCTTGCTCATCAAACATTCCTTCTCCTGCTGCAAGCATTCCTTCTGTAGCCTGCAAGGAGAATTCAGCCATCAGAGGAACAAGAAGCTTTGGCAGCTTTACCAGCCGCTGTTGATATAGAGTTGAATGAGTTAAAATTAATAAAAAGCTCAAATCAGAGGATAAAAGCTCTAAACAAAAACTGCTTAAGATCTACCCTCTATCAATGTGGAAGCTGCTTTGAGGAAAGGCAGTAAGCAGACACCAGGAGCTTGCCAAGATCACAGCTATGACATTTAGAGGGGACAAATCAGGCTTATACAAAAGTGAGCACACTGCTAAACCCAAAACACAATGCTGTGCTTCTCCTGGGCACTTAAGCCACACCAGAAATAAGATTCCAAATGGCCAAACAAAAAACCAGAAGAGCACACCAAGATATGCAGCTCAACGTTTTTAGCCAGCACTTGTAATCTTAGAAGCATTCCTAGAGTTTTCTGAGAAAGGAACAGAAAGTATTAACTTCCAAGTGATATTTCTTAAGGAAAATTAAAAGTAACTCTCCTAAAACACTAATGTCCCCCTGGAGACACAAACTTCACTAATTCTTTAGATACAAAGTAGATGTAAAAACGTCAGACTTGCAGACCTTCAGGATCACTAAGAAAAAAACCCTATGGTTCAGTCCTCTCAGGGGCTGTCACTCCTGGCTCTGTATGATTTTTATAAAGGTAAAAAATTCTCCTTTAGTTTTCAGCTCCATGTTTATTCATTTATTGGTCTATCAATATCATCACAATTCAAGCAGAATCCCTTAATCTTCAAAATACTAACAGCAGAGCTAGGCTGACCCTCCACACAAGCCAACTGCTCTCAGGTTCCTCTCAAAGTAGGGATATTTTCCCATTCCAAAAATCATGCTAGAGCCCTTCCCTGCAGCTATTGCAATCTGGAACCCCTTTCTAAAAGGTGACAAAAAATCCAAGTGCATCAGTTCTTCAGCAGCAACTACAACCTCAAATCATGTCAGCAGTAAAGAAGGGAGGTGCCTGTGGATACCACAAGGTCAGAACAGTGAGAAGTGAAGCTTTCTTACACAGTCAGGTCCTTCTCCTCCTTTATACGCTCAATGTTGCGCCGGAGCCGCGAGTTCTCATTCTCTGTTTCTACCAGCTCCTGTGTCATCTCATTCAGTTCTTCCTTCTGTTCCTCCAGGAGACGCTTTGTGATTTCCTCCTGTTCCTCCATTTGCTGTATCTTGACCTGAAGATATTGGAATAAAACTTAAACATGGGGCTTTGGAAGTGATACACGGAATCCACATCCCAAATCAGTGAACCACTCATAGTCAATTAACTTACTGAAACTATAAAAAAAAATTAAGTATCTATCTCCTCCCAGGTGACAAGTGACAGGACATGAGGAAATGGTCTCAAGCTGTGTCAGGGGATATTCTTCACAGAAAGGGCTGTCAGGTATTGGAAAGGGCTGCCCAAGGAGGTGGTGGAGTCACCATCCCTGGATATGTTTTAAAAAAGCCTGGACATGGCACTCAGTGCCATGCTTTAGATGATGAGGAGGTGTTAAGGTCATAGGTTGGACTTGATGGTCTCACAGGTCTTTCCAACCTAGTTCATTCTGTGATTCTTAATGATTCTGTGGTTCTAAAGTTGATTTTTGTTTTATAATCATGCAAGTAATTCCATTAAATTTCGTAGCATAAATAAAATGGAAAATGCTTGATATAAGAATCTACTTGACTCAAATCCTATTCTTGTTCACTGATTTGATGCCCATGTAGCTTTGAGTAAAATAATAATACAGAATTTGCCACTCTGAGTGTTAACTCAATGTTAAGAATGCAGTTTATGCCCATCATGATGTATCTTATGAGAGCTGGGAACAGCTCCCACGTATTTTTAATGGTGTCAAGTACATAAGAGCCTATTTATCCAGAAAACACAACATCACTGGGTTGCACATTTTTAAAACTGAATCAGAAGAAACAATCTCATTGAATAAAGGAATTTTTTTACAATAAAACATCAATGCGTTGTGTTTTTCAATTTCATTGAAGAAACACTTCCATTGAATAAGGGGATTTTTTTGACAATAAAACATCAATGCATTGTATTCTTCACTTTCTGGAGTCATCAGTTTTCAGATTTTGGGCTTGGGCAGGAGAGATTATTTGGAACCTAAAGCACAACAATATATTATTAAATTTATAATATTTCGAAATGTTTCATAATGTGGCTAAGTGAATTTCTCACTAGGATAGTTCAGCTACTCTAAACAATTCAGATTTATTTTCAAGCAAGCTACCAACAGCCTGGGCAGCCTTCCATTGCACCAAGACCTGCCTCCAGCCTCCTCTTGCCAAAGGATCAGCTACAAAGCCCCAGTCAGCAGGTCTTTCTATTGTCTCCTCACCTCTTTTTTCAGTGTTCCCACCATATTCATTAGGCTGTCTATCTTCTTTTCATATTTGTTAATTTTGCAGCAGGCGGGATCATCGTCGTCTGTGGAGAGGTCACTGAGGCGCATTACGGACTGCATCCTGTCACACTCAGTGGTAGGCAGAGCTCCTAGATGCCCACCTGATTCTTTCTAGGGAATAAAGGGGATAATTTTTTTTAGTCTAACATTATAAATAGTATTCTAACATTGCCAAAAAAACAGAGACTGGGTCACATCACTGCAGCAAGGCTAGGAAAGAAAAAAATATTGTTTACAAACTCTCTTCTCTTTCCATCTGGGAAAGGTCAAGAATGCAGAAAGAGTACAATGAAAAAGAAGAAAATCTAATCAAAGCTCAAATCCTCATCTAGGAAGTGCCAGGAATACAACAGGCAAAACTATGAACTCATGAGAAAGAAAATATGATGCAATGCTACACAAACACTCTGTGCTTTGGAAGACACTGAGACCAGCAGTCCCTCACTGAGCCTCCAGATGAGATCTTGAAGTGCACCAGTAAAATCACAATAAAAAAATAATTGTGTCTGGCTTCTAGAGACAGAAAGGCATGGCCACAGCCTGCTTATGAATTCTCAGTTTTTCTACATTAAAAAAGATTGAAAAATATTTACATTGAAAAAGATTTCCAGAAGACACTTCAAATAGATGGTAGGGGATAGTAGCCTTCTCTCAGATCTGCCCAACTCTCTCACTACACAACTGCTCTCTTGACCCTTGGCTAAACCTCAAAGTTTGTTTTAAAGAGCAAAACCAGGTGTACCTCCCACTTCAAGATGGTATCACGAGTGCTTGTTTTGCCTGGGGGTATCCAAGGGGCTTTAGTTTTCACCGGAACGGCTCGCACGCCGTCCCCTTTAGATTTCTGTTTGTGCTTTTGCTAAAGAAAGAGAAAGTAAAACAAATTACAGAGCCTTAAAGAACCATTTGCAATTTTTAGTGCTGCAAAACCAAACAAAAGATCATTAATACAGAACTATCAGTAGTGCTTCACAGGATGCATCAGGTGAGATGAGGTAGCAGCCACCAAAGGAAGCTGACACCAGCCAGAAGGAAAGATTATTGCACATTCAGCTGGCAGGATGGCTGGATGTAGGACCTGACAGATCCCTGGGAGATCCCTATCCATCCCAGATTCATCTCACAAAAAAGCAGCAATATCATTTGACACCATGATTGATTTTGGAAAGCCCTGGAAGTGTTTTCCCTACTCTAGTCAACTAGAAGATCCGCATTTATTTGTATTGAACTTGAGCTGCTCTATCTGAAGGAGAGTTAAAGTGTTTTTGCATAATTCTAACCTTAGTGAAAAATCAGATGCTGTAAACATTCCCTACTGGCAATTAATTCATAAGACTTGTTATTTTCACTATCATTCCATCCCATTATGAAATTTGCCATTAGCAACAAACACAAAATTAATACAAGACTTAGAACAGGATGTCTGTAGATAAGGAAGAATGAAATAGCAACTTCCATCAACTTTTTAGAACAACTTTCCATAAATATACAGCAACAAAAGAGGATATGGAATAGCTAGAACCTCAGCTTCAGTTTTGCCTTGTGCCTTCTGTGGATAAGTTTGGGAAGAGATCTTCTTGGCTGCAGAACTCAGTGGACAGAGAATGCCCTTAATGCCAGAAGATGGTCCGAATGAAGATTCTTTTTCTAAGTACTTTTATTTCAATGCAATCAAGATGCTACTTGAAATGCCTAAGTACTACCTCTCCTCAAAGCTTTCCTCCTAAAAACAGATATGAAGCCAAACAGAAAACATTATCAGGACACACATCCAAGAAATAAAATGATATCACATTGGAAGCAACATTTCTCACATGAACATGAAAAGCAATTCTGTATCACACCAAAATCATCCTTCAACAAATCAACATAGCAAATGTGTCACTGCAAATTCACCACTGAATATGAAATGAAGTCTCATAGCTCTAACACATCAGTAGAACAGACCTGGCAGATTTTGTGATGCTTCTAGGGCCATTCACCTTCTCTGCAGCCCTTACAACCAACCAGGTACACACTCCTACCTGGCATTTTGCAGGTGTGGTTTTCTGCCCCTTTTTAATATGGACATGGACAGGGGTGTTTTCATCCACATGGACGTGCAAAGGGGGAGATGAGCAACGGTTCTTCATGACTCTTCTCCCACAAATGGGAAAGGGAAATGCAATGAAGGGAAAACCTGTGAATACGGAAACTGGAAACAACAACATTTCCTTCAGTGTTCAGAGAGAAACAGTGGCCAGCCTTGGTGAACATTTGAGCTTTTTATCAGGAGCATCTGCCATTTTGAACTTCACGCTATTCTTCTGTAAAGCCAGGATTAACACAAACAATTTCCTCTGCTCCCAGTATTTTCTGCTTTTAACCTGGTTACTGAAGATCAAACACAGCTGGATCAATAGCAGGTGTCTGTAAGAACCATTGAAGTTCAAAGTCTTAAAGCAAGTGAGCAAATCAAGGGTTCCCATAACCAACAAGATCTGATTACAAAGAGAAATTTGAAGCAGGGAGAAGAGGAGAATTAATTGAAAAGTTAAGAAAAACCATCAGGAAATCATCATACCAATCCATCCTAGAACCCTGAACCTGCATGCTCCTTCATATGTGCTTAACTTTGAGCATCTTTTTTAAGCATAAATCCTTTAAAGCCATTGCATCACAGCATTTCTTTAATCTCCACAGAAACACATAACCATAACCTGACACAACACAGAAAAGAATAGAGACACAAGGTTCAGATCATCATCTTGGAGCCTCAGTTAATGTAAAGGCATAATGTAATTGCAAATCTTACACAAAGCCACCAGCAGCACTAACCTGATTCTGGCAGAAAGGATATTGTCAGCCTAAGTAAAGTTACTTACAGCTTTTTTCAAGCCCTTGGCTTTCCTGCGCACAGCCTTGGGTGTAGAGGAACTATCTTCGGTGTCAGTCGAGAAACACCTGTTACAGAAATAATAAAATGATTTAGAGGAAAAGGTGCCAATTTCTTAACATCCTCTTCTTTTTGATTTAAGAGAATACCAAGGCTCAAACATCAAGTACGTGAACTCAAAAAACAAAAGTTAGTGTGCCCTAGTTTCCTCTGTAAAGCACAGGATGAGGAAAGGACAGACTATAATTCCTAACATATTGGCAATGGAAATTGTTTTAAACAGTGGAAATGTTTTGTACAATTACATGATGGCACTATTCACTTACAAACTTTCATATCCTAGCCCCAACTTTGAAAGAACACAGCAGCACTTCCTTCACTTCAGGAACAGGGCAGGGACTGACAGAGCCTTTGAATCACCACGAGTGACAACCAAACGTCCAAACGTCACTGTGCCTGCCTTAGCAACAAGGCTCACACGTAACCATTCATTCCTCCCGCAATCTCCGCAGGTTTTCCATGGAATCTGCGGTCACCCCAGGCTGGCAGAGCCGCGGTCAGGGGGCCGTGAGCTGCCCGCAGCCCCGAGCAGGGCAGGCCTTCACAGGCCGGGCCCGGCAGCTCCCAACGCCCGCCCGCCCGCGCCGTTATCCGGTGCCGACGGCTGCCGCTGGCCTGCCAGCAGGAAGGAGCCCGAAAGGCAAGGAGGAAGGAATAATTCCCGGGGCGCGGACACTCACACAGTGCGGGGACACACAAATGCTGAGGAGACACCCACCGAGGCAAGGGAACGCCCACACGTTGAGGGGACGCTCCACAGGGCGAGGCCCCCCGCTCCGCCCTGCCCTCCGCGGGCTCGGCGCTCTCACCAGGCAGCTGGGCGCGGGGTCCGCAGCCACTTCAGTTCCCCATCAGTGCGGTGAGAGGTGCAGGGGCGGCTGTGGACTGAGTTGTGGGCACCTTGCAGGCACCAGGCACAGGAGGAGCGGCCGCAGGGTCCCGGCCGCCGTCGCCGGCGTCCCCCCCGCGGCTCCACCATTGGGCGATTCGAACGGCCCTGAGCGGTGGTAACCGCCCCCGGTAACCGCCCGCAGCGCCATGCGGCCGGCACGAGCGGCCTCGGGCGGCCCGGCCCCACCGGCCGCAGCGCCCTCACGGCTGCGGCACCCTCAGGAGGGGCTGCTCATCCCTACAGAAATGGAGAGGGCTGAAAAGAGCATGAAATAAGTGGATTCATAAGTCAGTTTTCTTGGCGTTGCCTTTAAGATGAGTTTTACAGTCTTAAAGGTGACGCCAGAATTGTGTACACAGCCACTTTTACTGTTAAGCAGAACTTTGTACAGTTCTGGCCGTCCCCAATACAAGGACATGGAAATGTTGGAGGAGACCACGAAGTTGATAAGGGGATTAGAGCACCCTCCATATAAAGACAGGCTGAGTGAGTTGGGGCTGCTCAGCCTGGAAAAGAGAAAGGTCGTGTGGAAACCTCAGAGCCCCTCACAGGATCTGAAGGGGGCTACAAGAAAGCCAGAGAGGGACTCCTTATCAGGAACTGTAGTAATAGGACAAGGAGAAAATTGAAAGAGGGGAAATTTAAGCTAGATATTAGGGAGAAATTCTTCCCTGTGAGGGTGGTGAGAACTGGCACAAGTTGCTCAGGGAGGTTGTGGATGCCCCAACCGTGGCAGTGCTCAAAGCCAGGCTGGATAAGGCCTTGAGAACCTGGTCTAGTGGGAGGTGTCCCTGCCCATGGCAGGGGAGGTTGGGAGTAGATGATCTTTAAGGTCCATTCCAATCCCTTAACATTCTAAGACTCCATAAAAGGTGATAAAAAATCCTGAAACAATCTTTATTTAATGTAATATTATTGGCATGTTAGTGTTACGGATATTCATCTTGAGAGGACTGATTCATGTACCACAGCAAGGAGAATTGGAATCACTGAGCCCTTGGTGCTTCAGATCCTCATTTAACATGAAAATCTCTTCCTCCCTCTCAGGTTGAGGTGGATGCTGAAATTATCATCAAGGGTTTCTTCAACCTCCTGTTTATGCATGCTCAATAAAATTCTTTAAAAGAACATTGCCTGTTGAAACTATGGAACACAAGTTTCAGTACAGAACAGTTTAAAGAAATACAAATCACAGCAGCCACGCAGCCATTTGTACTGTAAACATTTTCTTTCTCCCTTCAATGTCAGATCATAACTGAATTTGGAACTAGTCCTCCATTCAGAAAAAACCCAAACCTCTATCACCACCATTGTTATAACCAATTAAGGTACTCTCCCTGAACACACACTGGACAAGCAGTTGTATTTACAGACCAACTTCAGCTGCACCTGAAATATCACAACAAATCAGATTCCCTGAAACCTGCCTGTTCTTCTAGGGAAACAGAACTTGATCAAGGTGGTAATTAAGGATACTTGGGCTGTGCAGAGGATTACTCCCACTTGAACCTGCATTGTCTCTTGCTATGACAAATATGGTTTCTGCGGTTAGAGAGGGACTTTGACAAGGGGTAGTGGCTTCCCACTGACAGAGAGCAGGGTTACCTGGGATGTTACAAAAAACATCCCCCTTGTGAGGATGGGGAACACTGGCACAGCTTGCCCAGAGAAGCTGTGGCTGCCCAATTCCTAGAAGTGTTCAAGGTCAGGTTGGACAGGGCCTGAAGCAACCTGGTCTAATGGAAGGTGTCCCTGCCCATGGCAGGGGTTGGAACAGGATGGTTTTTAAGGTCCCTTCCAACCCACACCATTCTATGACTCTACCCAGCACAGCTCAGAAGACTTAGCTGCAGGTACAGCTCCTAATCTGACTGCCACATCAGCAAATCCTTTGTTACTCTTGCATGACAGAAACATCTAGAGATCCCCTGGCCATGCAGATGGCTCTTAATCCTTCTTTTCCTAAAACAAGAACAAACTGATCTTCAGGGATATTCCAAAGAGATCTCATGCAAGACAAGCCTTTCCAATAACTGCTCTGCATTTGTGATTTCAGTGTAGGCCATGTTCTTTGGGTGTAAAGGGTATGGTAAGAACTCAGATCTCACAAAGAGGACAGAATAAAGCCAGCCTTTATCCTTGCAGACCGTACAGAATCAAATCCTGAGAGAACCGTTTACATGGAAGAGTGAAAGCAGATGCCTTGCTGCTGTCAGAGGAAGGGTGCCTTCTCCAGCACTGCAGATTCCTCCAGTTCCCTTAGCACTAGGTTTACAAGATGCTATTGCAGGAAATATTGTCACTTAAAAACCAGTATCCAGTGTCTTAGTTAGGAAAACACTTCAGGTGACATGGATGATAGCAGAAGACAGCCTGAGGCAAAAGCTGGTCAGGCCTACCACATCTGACACAGCCCTAACACCAGCCAAGAGCATCTTGCTCTTACAGTAACCTGCTCTGAGGGTGTCTCTTATCTGAAAGAAGCCTTTTCATTGCATTCTTCAGTTCAGAGCGTCTCCTTTCCAGCAGCATCCAAAATCTCTTTCTTTTACCTGTCCCCATTCTTCTACAAACACCCAACTGAACCCTTCTCTCACAGCAACTTGATGTTCTGAACAGGGTGGTCTCTGTGCCCACAAGTCAGTCCATTAGGTGTGACCAGTCAACGCTAAAATAAAAGCCATTTCTTCTGAAGTTTTCACCATGCAAGTACTTCAGGGAGGCAGCTGCAGCTGGCATCAGATTGCAACTCCAGTTTTTTCAATGACTTCTTCCATGCGCTGGTACCAAGGCTGAATATTGGTGTGAGCCATCATGTCATCAAAGGCTTCCAGCCCTTCCATGACCCGGAGTACCCCGTACACTGCCTGTGAGAGCAGAGAGGTCAGAACAACACTGAGAAAGCAGTGGAGAATGGCTTAGGGTACAACTGTCTCAATAGCCGAGCCAGTATGGCTCTTCCCCTGTCCTGCCATCTGATCCATCCTTCTGATTAGCAAGGAGGAGTGAATGGCAGAAAGGTAATTAAGAATATGCATGTTTTTCCATGAGGAAATAGTAAGGATCAGGATCTATGTGCAGTTATGGGGAAGTCCCCACCATGTGGGAACTGTATTACTGCACAAAGGACAATGTATCTCATATTAGCTCAACTTCCCTGCCTGTATTATATTAACCATTAACTATCTCTGTATTAACAGAGATGAGCAGCAGGATAATTTGTGATCCACCTGACAATAACCACAGGGATGAAGCCCTTACCAGGTCAGCAAGGTTTGGCTGGTTCCCACCCATGAACAGTCGATTTTTGCCAACAGCTTTCACCCACTCGTTAACTGCTTGATACAAATCTTCTCGGACATCATCTCGAAGCTGGTGTCTGCATAAAGAGAAGAATCAGTTTTTAACACACAAATTTCTTTCTTTCTTTAACCTTCTATCACCTCTCACCTTATGGGCTGGTCTTGGTTTGCAGGTATTTCAGAGTGAAGAGGCAGTCAGTAATTAAACAGTGGATGAGTAGAGGGGTTCAGTACCTCCAGTTACAAAAGTACAGTTGTTACTCATACAGGATTAAATGGTTCAGTTTAAAACTCTGAGGTTCTGCTCTTTGACAGCTGGGGTTCACAGCTAAGGAAGAGCTAGTTCTCCTCTTGTGTACCTTGTGCTTAGTGATACCAACCTTTTCTTCAGCCTCTTGCTAACGAAGAACATGGCAACAGCCCCCACGTATTTGGCAAAGAGACCTTCCAAGGTGCCAAACTTCCCCTCACGCACGATGTAATCAAAAGACGCCAAGGCTTCTTTGGGGGTGCGGTAAACATTGGGGGAGATGAGGTGAACAAGCCAATCATCTGCCCACTTTCTCCACTTCATTTCTTCCCTGCGAGGAGTCAAAAGAAATTTTTCAGTGAACGAAGTTAATACAGATAGAAGGGCTACAGGAGGCAGGATCACAGTTGCCCTAGCCAGAGATCCTTCCAAGGTCAAACACCCTTACCCAGGTACTCTGGTGGCCCCTCTAAAATGCACTCAGCATCGTTATCTTTGGCAAGGCTCCTCCAATCTCCAACTGAATTTAAGACTAAGATAGAGCATTAGGTTCTCTGCCCAATATGAGAAATAAGCAGGAACGGAAATTTTCCCTCAATAGCATTCCTCTGTGGCACAAAGGAAAGGCCAAGAAGGAAACGGGAGGCAGCTGAAGGCCTGTGTGACCATGGTGGTGGTAACCAGGCTGTCTAACAGCTTTGTTTGGAATTATCTAACAAACATAGCAAACCAACCAATGAGGCTTGAAATACTAACAGGAGTGTGACAAGACTAGTCAGCCCTAGTGGGATTTTTAGGAGGCTGTAACCCTAGTTGGAGAGCCCAGAAACTGAAGAGCACTTACACTCTCACTTCTTTGACAGGATAGACTCTTTTGGTCTCCTTCTCATCCAGCATGAGCCAGTACTTATTCTCATACTCAACCACCTCCTTGCCTTTTTCAGTCACTGTTTTAACAGGTGGATAAAAGGACACGATTTCTTCTAAGCTATTCCTCCTGTGAACAGAAACACAGTTAGCACTGATCTGGCTCCTGCAAAAAAGGAGCAAGAGCAAAGGCCAGATTCAAAGACACACGCTATAAAATGTATTACTCTAAAAGTCAGTGCACCATGTTCCAGATTCTATTTGAAAAAAAAAAAAAAGAGCGACTGGAACAGCTACTTGCAAATAACTATTATTAGTGCACATGCCTTTGTCTGTGGTGGAGCAGAAATTTCTGCAGGCATAAAACTTCCTACCATTCTCAAGTATAACTTAAGGACAGGCCATAGGCACAACAATGCCATTTCATTCTAGATATTATAACTGGCTAACTGTAAGCTCAGTTCCAGGACTAACACTAGTCCATGTTTAAGTAGGTTTTGTGCAAACAGAATCTCACAGATGAGAAAGTACTTCTGAAAGGTACAAGCTTTGCTTTACATCACACACATCATAACATATATAGGCATCACCCATAATATCACAACCAGGCTCAGGTCACCCAGAGCTTCAGAGCCTGAGGTCAGCAAGAGACTTAGAGCAGTCTTCTAAAACTCTACTTAATCTGGGCCCTCCATATTCAACTCTTCTCTCAACACCCTGTTTTCTTACCTGGAAACAAGATAGGTCTTTATTGCACTGATTATCACCGAGGAGTCGTTCAATTGCTGAAAAACAAAAGCAACCATTTAAAAGAAACTGGTTAAATTGAAAAGGAAATTCTTCTAATCTTTTCCCCAAGGCTCCAAGTCAGGGAGACTTACCAGAGGGCTCCCAGCATTGGCTAGCAGGATGGGCACCTTTCTGTAGGAAGAGAATTTGATCTCTTTTCTCATGATTGGGTTCACTTCCACAATTTCATAGGGCAGTCCATGATAATCAAGAAAAGCTCGGACTTTGCTGCAGAAAGGACATGTTTTATACTGGTAGAGAGTGAGCTGCAGGCTCCCTGCAGGCAGCTGGGGAAGAAAGAGAACAGAAGATTAAATTTTCTGCTAAAAACATAAACACTACCTTCCTTCCACCCTTATTTCTGTCCTAAATGTTCTGACATTCAGTGTCAACATCTGATCATGAGCATATCTTGGCTATCAGATGCTTTCTTTAAATGGCGTCAAATATTTAAATATTCACCATCCATTGGGACCAATAACCTGTTTCTCTACACATCTATTTAATGTGCTGGAAATTCCTACTCACAGCCAGGAAAAAAAAAAAAGTTAAATCCAGACAGTTTACGCCTTTTTGGTCTCTATTCTGTAAAACAGAATTTTATAGAAAAACACAACCATTTGCAGTAATATTCAAATAAACAAAAACAAAGCCTTTACAAGACAATCCTTCCCCCACAACAGCCTCTGTTGAGGCCACAAGATGGGGAGAGCAGAGTTTGCATTTGATTTTAGGCACGTGTCTGCCCAAATTCACATTCCTGGGGTTAACCAACCTGGGCACAGCTGGGACAAGGCAGGGAAAGCCCAGGGCCACCGTGACATCAGTTACAGGATGATTGGCAAAGCTGCTGCACCTCAGCAGCCCGACAGGCCATGCCAATGATTCCGCACACATTAAAGAACAAATACAGCCACCCCGCTTTGTTTCTCATTTACAATTTACTGGGTTACACAACCCTGCGCGGGTGCTGCGAAAAAGCAACAACAGAAAAGGCTCCACACCCCCAAGGAAGCCCTCACTGACAGCCTTTCCTTACGGCTCCTCAAGGAATGCCCTGCCAGGGGCCTCCCAGACCGTTCTCAGCTCTTCCCTCACTCAAAGCGGGGCAGAAGGAGCCGCTCGGCCCGCTGTCCCCGGGGGCTCGCTGCGGCCGCAGCGGGGTGCCCGCAGGCCTCGGGGAGGGCACGGCGGGGATCAGGGGGAGCCGGCGTTACCTCAGCGGCCGAGTGCTCCCGCAGGCGCTGCCGCGCCGCCAGGCACAGCCCGGCGGTGCCGCCCAGAGCGAACGCAGCGCCCAGCACCAGGCGGCCGCCGCTGCTGCCTCCCCGTCCCGCCGCGGCGCCGAAGGCTCGTCCCGGGGCCCGCAGCCGCCAGGCTGGCGGCAACAGCAGCGCTCCGAGCCGCCAGACGCGGCCGGCACCCGCCATCTTCGGCTGAGGGCGGGCGGAGAGCGACCGCTCCGCCCCGGGCACGGCGGCACCGCCCCGGCACGGCCGCGGCTCGGGGCTCGGGGTTCGGGCATGGCAGCAGCGCACCCCGCTGAGGGCGCACCCCGCACAGCCAAAACGGGACGGAGTTGCTGCCCTGTAATTATCAAATCTGAGAACACACCAGAGTCTAAAGTGGGAATAAAAGAATCAGTTAAAAGGGTGAAGGAACTGGGCATGTTCAGCCGCGAGGGGGATTTCATCGATGTCTGTCACTGTCTGCAGAGAGGGGGCACAGAATGGACCAGGCCGTGGTGCCGAGCAATAGAACTGTTGTGGCGCGGGCAGGAACTGATGCACAGAAAGTTCCACCTGGACATGAGGAAAAACTTCTGTGACCGAGCCCTGAACAGGTTGCCCAGAGAGGGTGTGGAGTCTTTATCACTGGGGTTATTCCAGAAGTGTCTGGACACAATCCAGTGCAGTGTGTGCTGGGGTGACCCTGCTTGAGCAGGAAGGTGAGACCAGATGATCCACTGTGATCCCTTCGAGCCTGACCCCTTCTGGGGTTCTCTGGTTCTCTGCCCAGTGGGGCTGTGGAGTCTGACCAGCACATATTCACAATGCAAGTGCACATCTCCACACTGAAAGTCTTAATCTGTTTTATTAACATGTCGTTACATCCGTTCATTACACTTATATTCAATTTCCCTATTTGAGGTGCAACACGAGGCCGACTTTGCAGTGGAGCAGGGTTATTATTCACAGAATGGAGAGGTGGCTGCAGTGATAAATGGTGACATGACATTTTCTTTTGTCTTTGTCCCAAATACCCAGTTAATAACAGAATCCCTGATCTCAGGGGCACTGCTTGAACCAATGCTCTAATTGTGGGTTATTTTCATCCCAGTGTCTTCTCCCCCAGGGATGAAAACACCGCAGAGTGATGAGATCTCCTCAAGGTGACTGAGGTGTGGCTGATACCAGGCCAAAGACAGGGAAGGGCAAAGTGAATCGTGCTTGTTGCTTTAGGGAAGGAGTGTGAAGGTGACCTGAGGCTGGTTCAAGCCGCTTAGTGGATGAAGCAGAGCTCGTGACAGGGCTGGAGTTGGGAGTTGAGCAGCAAAGCCCTAGCCGGGACGGGATGGCCCGCACGGACAGAATGCAGATTTATCCATATGGAACATCGCTTGTGTTGGAAATGAAGCGCCTAATGCTGATGACGGCCTCTAAGCGGGGAAGTTTGTGAGGACCTGAGGACACTTGGGGAGGGCAAGGACACAGCCTAGCCCTGGGCACGCGTTTGGGAACAATCCCCGAGAAATAGGGAACGTGGCGCTGACCCCCGGGGCCGCCCCTGCCCGGCGCTGCTCGCCGCGCCCGCCCGCGCGCCTGCGTCCCGCGCCCTCCGCGCTAACCACAGAGATCACCGTAGCGCCGGCCCGCGTGACGCGCAAGGCGCCCTGCCCTCCCATTGGCTGGAGGCGCCGCGCGTGCACGGGCGCGCCGTGCGGGCGGCGCCGAGGCGCGGGCGGGCGCGGCGGGATGTCGGGGCCCAACGGGGACCCGCACGTGTTGGGCGGCGGCACCGGCGACGAGGGCGACGAGGGCGGGGACACCTTCGAGGAGGAAGGTGCGTGGGGGAGAGCGGGGCCGCCATCTCGGAGGGGAACCCGTGGCGCAGGATGGCCTGGCCCGTCCCATGGGCTGCGGGTGGCAGAGCGCAGGTGTGCCCAGATGTTCTGCCGGAGCGGTGCGCAATGCCAGCGGTGCACCCGCTACAGGGCAGTGGGGCTGGGGGACTGCAGGGTTTGATTCTCACCCAGCCATGGGGCACCCAGCTCCTACGTGTTGCCCTGGGATGGATTTTTTCTTCTATGAAAAAATTATTTTGTGCCTTTGCTGGTGTACGGGCTGCGGATGTCAGGAAAGAGGGTGTTCAGGTTCGGAAACCACAGGGCAGATCATGTGGGCAACTCTGGAGAAGTAGTCATGCATGGGAAAAGGGAATTTAATGCAGCTGGGCAACTTCCACTTTGGGGCATTTCTGCAGTGCCTGGGTTTGCCCTTGGGTATGCCGGTTCTGATACTGCCCTGTCCGGTTAGAACCAGCCCGTGGAGAAAGTGAGACGACAGCAGAGCAGTAATGTGGACGTAGAGGTCACATAAAACTGGAATTCTTTCAGAGTAAGCACTTTGCTACTCTTCTGTTGAAAATGGTGGAGCTGGGCTCTGCTGTTTCCCAAAACATTCTGTTCCCAGATGTGACCCACCCAGATGTGATTTTAGGAGTTGTGTCTGGGATGTAGCTGCAGTGACAGGACAATCACACCCCAAGTGTGTTCACTGCTTTGCATCATCACAGTGATTTGTATTTCATATTTTTTGAAAAGCTAAGAGACACATTGGATGTGATGGAGAAAGTCACTAAATTTGATCTACATCCTAAATAATTGGGTTGTTCAGCTTGTAATTAACTGGGCTTTGTGTGCTGGTCTTAAAGAGCTGCTGCTGTTTCCTGGTCTAGTGGGGCTGAGGCTGTGGATCTCTCCCTTCACCTCAAGTAGGAAATGTGATTTTTGTCAACTGTTCTTGTAAGAATGTAGAGGAGTTAATGCAATTGCCATGCTCCTGCTCAGTGGTTCCAAAATAGGGATGTGGTTATTATTTCCACAAAAATCCACCAAGATTCCAACTAATGGAAAACAATCAAAGGTTTTTACAACTTATTTTTAAATGGGTAATTTTTTTTTTTATTTCCCAAAGCTGAAGAAATTATATACCCTTCATTTCAGTTTTAGGCATGGAGAAAATTAAGTTTTGTTGTGATTACAAGCTTCTTGCCTAACTGATGAATGTCCCTTCACTGGAACATGGTGCACCGAATTGAAAAGCTGTAATTCACATACCTTGAAAAATGCTGATAGTTTGAAAAATATTGGTATCTGCCACCTTTTTGGAAAGCATGTGTTCGTGGGATTGATTTTTAAATGCAAGAACATAATCAGTGCTATTGCTCATAGTGCCACCTCTATGTATACCTACAAGGCCAAACTTTTATTAATGAGCTCAAATGCAACATTACACAATTCTCCAAAGAATTAAAGGCTGCAACACTCTGAACAGCTCCAAAGTTATAAGGTTATAAGAAAAGGAGGATAATTATTTTTTTATAGTGAAACTTCTTAGCTATTAATAATGCAAATTACTTCAATGTTTAAATATTCACAGTTCTTTTAAAGCTGCTGGAAATGGCAGTGCCTGGACCTGGAAAAGGGGCAGCTGAGAAGGGCAGAGCTGGTCTAGGGGATTTCAGCACAGCCTGACCCTCCAGGGGTGCCCAGAGCATCTTCATCCTCATCCTCCCTCCTCTCCCCACATCCTTCAGCTCAGCCCAGCGTTCCGGGCACTGTGAGTATCACACTGGGCTCAGAGGAGTGGAGAGGAGCCAGCCCCAGCCCATGAGGTTGGGCTTGTTCCACCCACACAGGCACCTTTCCCTATCCTGCAGCCCCTGATCCTCACAAACATCAGCCCACAGGTCACAGCTCCACCTCTGCCTCCCTGCACTCACCCAGCTGTGCCTTCAGAAAGGAACATGGCACTGGCTCCATCTGGGGTCCCCTGCAGCCCCCCAGGGGTCCTGAACAACATCTGCAGTTTATTTTGTCTGTTTTTTCAGTTTGGGTTTTTGTTGTTCTTCAGGACTGTGTGAATATTGCTTGGAGCAATCCAAAAGCAAGAGTTGCAGAAGCACAGCACTCTTCAGCTGGGTAACAGAGCTAAAACACACCACTGTGAAATGCCATTGTACGGAGGCACACTGCTGCACTTGAAACAATGCTGTGAATAAGAAACTGTACCTAGAGAACCAACTGCCAGGATTGTCTGCAGTGAGTCTAGGCTTAATCTGAAGTACCCAAAGCCTTAATAGAGCATGGAAATCCTGTGGCTGAACTCGGTGCCCAACACTTACCTTCCTGTGGAAATGATGGTGCCACTTACCAGCACCTTTGGGCTCATCCCCTGCTCCTGCCACAGCCAGGATGGCTGCACTGCTGTGCCAGCCTGACTCCAGCCAGGCCTCAGTGAAGCACATCCCAGCTTGGAAGCCTTCCCCAGTTCACAGAAAACAAACCCTACAACATGCTGACAATGTGCCTGTACTAGCAGGAAAGGTGATTCCAAAGGCAGCTAAAAAGGCTGACTTGTCTTTGGGATTTATCTGGTCCTGTTGCAGTCAGCGCTCAGCCTGTGGCTGGCTGTTTGTGTGTGAGATCTGAGGCTGTCAGATGTGCCCACAGTGGCTTTGTACTGCCCAGGTACTTGCCTTAGATCTTGTTACCAGTGTTCCAGCTTCCCATTGGCCTAGTTTGATCGGGGAGCAGAGCACATGCAGGATTCAGTTGCATTTTAGTTCACCCACCAGGGGCAAATAAGGCACAGCCAGAATGCTGTGGGCATGTTTTGCCAGAGCTCTTGCTGCCTGCTGTGACTGCAGTGACTTTGTACTTGCATTGTTCAGTCTCTCATTTCCCTCGCTTTTAGAATATGCAGCAATAAACTCCATGCTGGACCAGATCAACTCCTGCTTGGATCACCTGGAGGAGAAGAATGATCACCTCCACATCTGCTTGAAGGAACTGCTGGAGTCCAACCGCCAGACCCGGCTGGAGTTCCAGCAGCAGAGCAAGCAGCTGAACACAGGAGCTGATGTGCAGGGATCCCAGCCTCCTGCCTAGAGTCTGACCACACACTCTCAGCTGCTGTTGCTAAGGGACAGTTACTGGTCACCAATTTAATGTAAAACTTGAATAGCAGAGGTGCCTCGTTTCTGTTACTTGTTCCTTTCTGTGTTTGTATCCTGCCATTCATCTCCATGTTCTGTTTTCCTTTAGCTGTGAGACAGGTGCAGAAGCACAAGGGTGGCTGTAGGAGAGCTGGTTCTTTCTGCTCCCCAACATGAGCCTGACACTCACACTTGGTTAAAGCTGGTTGTAGGAAACCTGAACCCATGCAGGTAGTTTGCAGACAGGCCCTCTTCAAAAGTGGAAAAATTATCTCTGCTCTGTTTTCCTTAAATCCAAGCAAGGAGTATTATGGCTTTACCCCCTTTGGCAGGGGCTGTCCTGACTCCAGGCTTGTCCCTAAGTGTAACTCTGGTGACAGCCCTGGAGAAAGAGGGCCTAGGCCAGCTGCTGCCTTGAAGCTACAGCTTCTTCTTCCATAGTCACATTAACTGTGATGTATGAAATACTGGCACATGGTTCCAGATCACTGGACACTTCCACTCCATTCCAAGCAGATAAGACAAGCTACCAGGGTGATGCTTCTGACCATTGTAACTGGGAGCTGCCCCACTCCTTCAGCTGCCATTAAGGACCAAGGTGTGGAGGGAGGCAGAGCAGCCTGGTGAGCCCCCACCACAGCATCAGCAACAGAGAGCAGAGCCCTCCCTGTACATTCTGACAAGGCACGAGAGGTCTGCTCTGTACTTTGTGATCCTGTCAGTATGTCCTAGAGCCAGCACTTTTGAAGCAAGTCTTACTGTTCTACTTATGTAGTGTTAAAGGAGTTTTTTGGAAAGTTAAAGAGGTTATTTAAAAGAAATCTGTTTTATTAAAATCAGTTTGAAACAAACTTTGTTCCTGAGAGTCTCCACTATGAGAACAGATTGGATTAAGCCTTGTGGTATTAACAAAGGACCAAGGTGCATGTTTTTGCCTAGCTTAGGACTTGTCCAAGACTGCTTGTCCAACAGTGTTTATCTTAGAAAGGAAAGTGTTCTGAGAAGCAGAATTCAGCAGAGTCTCTCAAGAGATAAACATTTTCTCTGGAAAGGAAACGAGAGGAACTACAAAGAATTCTTAAATCTGCATCCATCACTCTGTGACGTTTGTCCCCTATGGAAATCCCATTACCATCTTCTTTCAGGTTCAACAATCCAAGCCTCAGTCTTTCCACATAACTGCTGTATCCCAGCTGTACAAGTAATAAGCAACACTATCCTGTATTAGACACGCTAAAGCCAGGCTTATTTATTCTTAAAATAAAAACAGCAGTAAAGTTGAAGGTTTTGCTCTATTAAAAGACTCAGAAAATAAACATTTCCAGCAAATATCACCTTGTAAAGGGCTCTCCTTTAAGGCCACTCTATCTGGGTTTGCGCCTGGAAGAGCGTCTGCACCCAGCAGAGGTGAGACCGCCTGTCTCACCTTTGGCGAGGGAGGAAGGCTCTGCTGCTGCCTCCTGGCCTGCATCTGCTGCCTCCTTCTGTCCTAAGCCTCCTCCACTCCCTGGATCCTGGTGGTCGTCTGTGCCTGCCCTCTGCCTGGCTGTGTTGGCTTCTTCCTCACGTCCCAGGGGCTCCCCTACGGTGTGGCTCTCCCCAGAGAACAGGCAGTCGGCACTAGTGGCAGTGGACTTGTCCTGTAGACTTTCTTCTTCTATAACCATGATACCACACACATCATCAGTCACACTGGCCAGGCTCTTGCCCTCTGGCCTAGAGGTGGCCAGCTCACCCTTACCCTCCAGAGACCTTGAAGTTTGTTCTTGCAGGGCTGACAGCTCTGTGCCCTCCTTATCTATCCCATGATCATCATTCATCTTCTTGCTGGTATGTGCTGTTGTAGCAAGAGGCTGTTTTGGATCATCCAGCAATTGGGAGCTGGAGCCCTGGGAATGCAAAGGAGCCTCGGGGTAGGCAGTTGTGGCACGATGCCTTGCTGCCTTGTATCTCTGCAAATACAAACAAACCAACATGAGAGAGAAGCCCAGCTCAGCTCCTGTCACTGCAGCAAAGCAGCAGCTGGTCCAGGAACACCTGTACAAAAACAGTGGTGAGTGGCAGGAGCACAAGTGATCTCAGCAGCTCCTGGCCTGGCTGCTGAGGCTCTCAACAGAGAAGGGTCAGCTCCTGTGAGGAAAAGTTTATTAAAAACTGAAGTCCCTCTCGCATTACTTAATGCTGAGCGAGTGCATGGCAGACCTGTGGTTCCCGAGACAGAAATCACGATCTGGCAACTGTTAATATCAGTCAGACTCAGGACTCTGTAGATGTAACAGTGCAAGTGACAGCTCCTGCTTCAGCTACTGCCAGGACACACACCCTGGGCATGTGAGGCTCTGCACAGCCCTCAGCTACTGTGCTGTGATTTAATGTTTATCAGCCAAAGCAAGGCTTAAGCTGAAAGCTTTGTATTTCTTCACTCTGTTGATATAATCTGCACAGTCAGTGGAACTGTTGACAGGAAGGCTATGATATTATATCCATTATATCTCGTTACAAGTCACTGGGGTTTTCCACAGAGTAAAGGTAAGCATATCATCAATAAAAGGACTCATTTGCACTCACTATCATGATGAACCAGTAGAGGTCTGTAAAGAGATTAAAATGGCTACTACGCATGTTCTAGACGGGATTTCAGGAAAACAACTCACTGCAGCTAACACATAGCAGGAACCCAGTCTTTAATGCTCAGAGAGACGTGACCTGAAGGAACAAACTGAAGTTCACTCTTTCCCACAGCAGTTCCCTTCATAATCAACTCCCTTTCAGCTGCCTGCTAAAGGGTTCCTTGAACTGGCACTAGCATTATACCTGACAATTTAAGGAAACAATTTCGAGCACAATGCCTTTCACCAGTCTGCAGTGTGGAATTACAGCACATCTGACAGGCAGCTTTACATTGTAATTCAGTTTATCACTGCAGGCTTGTTCCTCCTCTGTCCTCACAGAGGGATATGAAGAATATCATATCACACTGGAATTGGATCAGTTGAGCCATACTGTACCCAAACCTAAGCAGGTCCAGGCATGCAAACTGGTGTCCAGAGTGATGCTGTAAATTGTCTCAACAGCACACAATTCTCTGCTTTGAAAACCTCTGCTGAGCTACTCTGCTGAGAACACCCCAGCAACTGGCAGTGATTTAACTCAGACTGTGACAACCCCAAGGCACCCAGGCAGCCAAGAATAATAGTTAAGTGCCTGCAGACATGTAAGTCTGGACTCTTCTCATGAACTCCCCAGGTCATTCTGGCATGCATTTGAAGAGCATCTGATTTCAGCTCTAAGTGGGCCAAAAGAGTGACATAAGTGGTTGCTGCTGCAGTTTCACTCTACGCTGATCTAAAACAAGCCAGGAAAACAGCAAGTCCAATTCCTTCATTCCTGAGATGACTAGCTGCCGGAGTGGGAGAGGATGAGCAACCATGAAGGAACAGCTGTAGTCTCCTCCCATTCCAAATCCACTGCTCTGACTGCTGGCAGAATTCTAAAGCACTCCACCCCTTCCTGGAGGCAGTGATGGCTGACTGGGAATAGTTTCTTCTGGCTGAAGACTAGAAGAAAACCATGAAGTTTTGGGGGTTAGGGGTGTATGTATGTGTGTATGGGGTTTTTTTTAAACACTATTTAAAAGGTGGTAGGGAAACACAACAGTTTTTGTGGGTGCAGGCAGAGGACCAAGTCGATGTGGGAACCTCCCTCCTTGCCAAGGACAGGGAATTGTCCCTCTCCCATACAGGAGGGCCCAGGCAGTGGTCATGGGATAGGGCAGAAACAGTGCAAGTCCTGTGTACCCTCCACAAGTACTAATCCAGGCCCCTTACCCCCTGGCAAGTCAACAAGGACAGAACAATGGAGGCAGATTCCAGGCCAGCCCAGTAGGAAAAGCTTTAGATACAAAAGCAGCAAGGGGCAATATGGCTTCTTTAGGTAGAGCCAGAAAAGCAAAGGAACAGCATCAGTTTGCAGAGCTTTGTGCTAAGGAGTTTCTAGGAAAGGGCAGCAGACAGAGAGAGACAGACAGATAGACAGACAGACTTCCTCTTGCAGGCTGACCCTGGGGACAAATGGACTCTCACCAGCTTGTAGATTCTATCACATAAAGAATCTGTAATGTTAAATTTTCAGATTTCTAAGGTATCTGATTTTACCAGGCCTCTTCCTGGATGAATCACACCCACGCTTTTGGCTAAAGGAGCTGTTCTTGCAGTATCACACCTGGACATGCGTATGCACCAGCTTTCTTTACAAGGAACAGCCTCTCTCTCCTGCTCAATCCCACCTTGACCAACCTGTAATCTAACAGAGAAGAGGCCTAGGCTAAATGACAGACTCCACAGGTTCAGCAAACAGAGCGGACACTCTGAGGAAGATTCCCAGCCAGAAACAGGCAAAAAGATGACAGCAGCAGTAGCTGGGAAGCAGGACTTAACTGGTTTTAGATCTACAAGGGCCAAGGGAGACAAAGACAGAGAACACCAGGAGAAAGCTACAGCATAATGGACACCAAGGATGATGGAAATGAGCTGGAGACAAGACAGCTAACGTGGTGGATTCACTGGAGAGACACGCACGGGGGAAACAAATGCCAGGCCATGCAATCGCCAAAGGGTCTAACCTGAAAGTTCTCAAAATGCATCAGGGACTTGCAGTGTGCGAGCCGGGCAGCGGAGTCGCTATGGTAGAATTTGTGACACAGCCTGCAGAGGTAACCTGCGACGGGGACCAGAAAATCCAGGCCTGCGAAACGGGAGGGGAAGGGAAATCACAGATCACATTGAATGGAACTCAAATAATGAAAGCATGTTAAAAGAGAAGGGGGATGGGAATAAAGGAGGAGAGGTGGAAAGCTTTGCTTCTGTTAATCAGGGATTCGCAAGATGACTTGCTGAATATCTCGTCTTACCATGGAATGGCTGTGGTTGATATTCAGAGAGAAATCTGGCTGCCAGAGCAAAGAAACTACACAGAGCGTTAAGGGGAGAAAAAGGGAGAAAAGAATACAATGGAAAACTACAGAGAACATGTGATCTAATGTAATGGGATCAAACCAAGCAGAAGACAGCAGGCGCGCAAGAGGAACACGCAGAGAACATTCACAGCATGAATCATTATTCCATCTGCCACACGATAGTGGAAGGTTACAGCGATATGGAAGATCCGTGTAAACAGAGCTCTCCTTGGGCACAAAACAGCCTCTGCAGAGCTGCCCTCCTCAAACACCAGTGGCCCTTAGGGGTTTGAAGTCAGTCACTTACAGGGTGGGGACCAGACAGGGCCATCTGGAGGAGCCACTGCCCACCAGGCCAGCAGCACGGCTGAGGAACTGCTCGGTAAGCGTGGGGGTTCTGAAGCGGAGGAAACATGCACAGTTTGGGTCTAGCAGAGAGTTTGATACTGTCAGTGATGCTCAGTATCTCTCTGCAGGCTGCATTTCTGTTGGAAAGCATTCCAATCAATATGCTTTCCGACTCCATCTTTCCAGAGCATCCCTCATTTGCTACCTACTTTCTTCAGTACTCCTGCCCTGCCGTGTCCTACCTTAGAAATGTATCTGGCTCTCATCCTTCTTCAAAGCAAAAGGCAGCTGACAAACATCAATCACATCCTCATGTTTTATCACACAGTAATAAAGAAACATCCTGCTTTCAGGAGAGGTTCTTCTCCAGGCAGCAGTGACCTGCACCAGTCCAATGCAGATGCTGGAGCACCATGGCCCAAGTTATTATAACAGTAGGTAGAGACCATCCTCTCCTACAAATACAGCATGTGGCCAGAGAAGGCTCTGTGGCCCTTTGTGCTTAACTCTGCTTGCTTACCATAGGCTGTGTCTGGACAATACTTCTCACTTCCTTCGTAATCCTCCAAAGACACTTCCTTCAGCCCAGTCTGGAAACCGAAAGAACATTAGTGCCTACTGTATCTATGGCAATTGTCAGGCTCTTGCATTTTTCTGGTAAGCTTGGGAGCAAACCAGAAGATTTATATACCAGTGACAGAGTTACAGTCTTTGATCAGGGGCAGATGCAAACCCCAATGTCAGCAGACCACTTCATTACAGGGGCTAAAATCACTCCTTGCACTTCAAGCTTGAAGGAGCTTAGCCATGTACCTCCTTCTTGGTAACTGCTCTCTGTTGGGAATGTCACGATAAACCTCTACACATTTGCTATCAGACCCAGCTACTGCTGGGCTGTTCAAAGAGACTATGTCAATACTGCTTTGTGCTCCTCAACAAGCTTAGTATCTGAAGACAGCAGAAGCTGCACAGCCCAGCAGAAACACCTTCATGTATCCCACACATAGTGCCTGATTCTCTTCCACATCACCCTGTGCCCTTAAAGAATGCTCCAGTCCCACCCTCCTGCTGTGCAAGACTGAGCAGACTCTTGAAAGCCTGAGCTCGACCAGCCTAAGTCATAGGACCCCACAGCAGATTCTCAGATAGGTCATTCCTTCTCCTGTTGCACAGCATACCTGTTTGGCAGCAGAATCCTCATTCTCCATCAGCACTACATCATGGTCTTCCTCCTCACCAGCTCCTCCTTCCTCCTCCTCCTCTTCCTCATCATCATCTTCAAAACAGCCAACAGCATCCACAGTGATCAACTCCTCTGAATCTTCTGGGCTCCCCAGTTCCTTCTCTCCTAGCCTAACCTGTAAGGGACAGAAAAGAAAGATCAGATCAACTTTGCACTCACCATTTAACCAAGGAAGAGCTCAGACTCAGGACAGATTGTATGTGATGAGCAGAAGGGACTGAAAGAGGGACATAAAGCTCTATTACTTCTAGACACATCCAACACCTTCTCCCTTTTTCACACAACAACTAACAACTGAAGTTCAGCAAAAGATGAAAATTAAAGAGGGTTGGAAGAAGTGCGTATCTTCCTTTCAGCCCCAAAGTGGTCAGGAAAGCAGAAAGTTATTCTGCTCTACAGTGGAGCTGCCTCCAGACCTGCACAGCTCTCCATGCAGGCAGTATTACCTCTTTGGCTTTCTGTTTGTGCTCAGGGGACTTCATATGCTCCACAAACTTGCGGGGGGTCTTGAAGTGGCGGCTGCAGACGGTGCAGAAAGGACGAAGCGAGCGTTTGGCCAGCTAAGGAAAGAGGGACAGTTTCATTTCACAAAAGGCACTGCTTTGGAGGAATGCAGATGAATCTTGAAACAAAGTCAGCCCCGCATCCTGGGAGACCACACAGAAAATAGTTTTTCAGCAGAAAGAGCTCCCTAATTCTTATCCACCAAAAAGATGAAAAACATGCAGAGCGAAACAAGTGTGTCTTAAAATAGTGTGTCTTAAATGTTCTGTCATTCTTCCCTAAAAGTAAATAAATATGCTGGCCTGCCTGAAGTTTAGCTTAAAGAGGATGCCCACCAACTCCTCCATTCAATTGATTACGTGAGTATGATAAGCCATATTTCTTCTTAAGAACAGTCAAGAATTACAGACTGGAGGTGCCTCAGACCATACTGACACATCATGACGACTGGAAGCTCCAGCAATGCCAGAGGCAGGGGGTAGCACTGCAGTGCCCTTGTGGAGGGAGTTACTGGCAGAACTCACTTCAGTCACTTCTCCTTTGCTGCTTGGGGAGCAGGAGGTGCTACACACTTCCATTTAATCCCCAGACAAAAGGTCAGTGCAGAATGAAGTCCATGCTATGGCCGTTACCTTGTGTTCCTGGGTCCTGCGATGTTTGATGAGGTCCCCTGTGAAATGCACCTGGCAGGTGTTACACCACCGCTGCTGGGTCTCTCTGAAGTGACAACAGATAGAACTGGAAGTCACACCTTTTTCATTCTCCATGGAATACTGCAGGTAGCAATCAGTCCCTGGCATTGTTTTCTTCACAATTCCTATCTTTACAGGCTCAAATTTATCTTCTCTATTTCTCACCAACTTACAGGTTGCTTTAGCTTGTGCTGACAGAAATGCACCAGATAAAACAGGTCTCCTACTTAATCTACTGTATTAAGAACTACACAGGTCAAAGTCAGCTCTGGTATCCTTCAGCAAGATAGAAAGTTGCCTGAAGGAGATTAAGGCCCTTGAAACCAGAGGGGGTTTGTACCTTACCTTAAACTGAGAGGCACCCTGATGCAGTGAAAAATTTTAGAACCCATGTAGGGCCACACTCAGATCCTATTTTCTACTGCAGACCAACACTTACCCATCTTTTCCTGCTAGCACCTTCTGTTGTTTCACCATGGGCAGTAGTGAAACAAAACAAACATTGCTCATGTGTTGAATCTCCCCAAGTCGCTGCTGGTGCTGAATTCCAGCCATGTGGGATTGGAAATTCTGAAAGAGAGGTTAGGAGAAAAATCCTTTTAAATGTATTCCAAACACAGAAAATAATAGGTATGAGCTATGCTTTCCTTTCTTTTGACTGCTGTTTAACAATGAAATATGAAAGCTTAAGAGCATGGCTGCCTGTGGATCCGCCCACATTCCCTCTCTAGCAGCTTGCTTGCCAGCTCTCAGGAGAGGTTTATTTTATCTGCATACTTGTCATCATTTCTTATGTTCCTTGCTCTTAAAACATGAGCCCTTGCTAACAAGAGATCAGCCCTCTAATTCCCATCTCTTGACCACCCTGTCAGACCTGTGCATTTTTACCTGCTGACTGCAGCAATTGGTCTTGCAGATGTAGCAGTAGAATTTAAGGACGGATTCCGGGTTGGGGTCAGCTGTGCCCACGTCGCAGGCCCAGTGCCCTGGTTTCAGAGCTGTGGTACTGATAGCTCTGCTCTCACTGCTCTGCTGAATAGTCACTTTCAGTGAACCTCCAGAGCTCAACACCTGTCAAAAGAAGGAGTCAACATTAAGTTCAATCCCTCAGTAGAATAAAAATTACACCTGCTTTTTGTATGTCACCTAAGCTCTTTACCCTTTAGGAAAACGCACGTAAGCTTGAGCCTACAGGAGGCTGATCAGGACTCTCATACACACTCCTCCCCAAGCTGCTAAATCAGCAATCCCTGTGTCATAGCACCAGCCCTATTAGCACAGATGGTTGTTTCTGCAGCCTCTGCAGCCACTGTATGATCCAGTCTCTGGGGACTGGAGCCACAAACAATTGTTGCTAAGGGACACAATCAGCTCATTTTTCTCCACAGCAAAACTAAAGCCTACTCAGCACAACACCTGATGGAGTCAGGAACTCAGACATGGGCAGGATGATACATTTGATCACATCAATAAATGTCTCCAATTATGGAAGACTGTCAAGTCTGATTCACACCTGAGGTTAAATCTTTGTCTGCTCACAGCTTTACACAGCCTGAGGTCCTGATTTAACATCTAGCATGGGGGCCACATATTTAATGCAAAAGACTCTCAGGTTGAATCTTTTAACACCACCTGAATCTTTTTACACTTGCTTTTTAACAATATGAAAGATGTATTTAGCTATGGCCCTCCACACATAGAGTTTAAGTAACTCTTTCAATTCATCTTTCCATCTTTCCAGCTGAATACAAAAATCTTAATGAATGCCCCATCCATAGGCAGCAGTAGGTGAGGAACAGGCCAGCAGAGGTACAAAAGCAGCAAGTCAGAGCAGACTGTGCACTAATTGCAGACATATTATGCCTTATTGCCAGGGACAACAGCTTACAGCAGGAGACAGAGCTCCAGACGTGGGTGCCAGCTGGTTCCCAGTGGCAACGGGCTTCTCCAGGATGGAGGGGGAGGTTGTATGTTCTGCACCACCCCTGCATGGAGCGATGTCTGCTCACCTCAGGAGCCTTCGGTTCCTCTGAGAATTTCCTCTCTCTGGAGAGATCTTCAGCTGGGTACTCCTTTGCATTGTCTGTACCTAAGAAGGGAGAGTCCTTTTACCTTTTAGCAGTCTTAAATCAAAACAGCAATGACAGGAAAAACAGAGCAGCAGGTGAGTGAAGTCAGGGAGCTTTCCTCACAGCACTGTTGGCCATAAGCCAGTTCACAAACCTTTCTCCTTATCCTTAATAATTAAGACAGAAACATCCAATCATTTGCCTTTGGCAGGTAACAGATATTAGGGGACATAGTTTGTATTTGGTTACTAGATTTTATCCTGCTTTCCCCATCCTGTACAACTGGGGGAAGAACATTTCTGTAGATCCATGGGACCTACAGGTGCTGTTCCACCAAGGAGAGCCCTAAAAGTTCAAATCACAGGGTTCAGCAACTCACCATCAGCTTGGACATGGGTGCATGAGACTCCTGCTTTCTTGCTGTCTGTGGCATCCTCTAACGCAGACTCGCCAGTCCCACTTCAAGGATATCAAGAAAAGTACCTTAATTGCCATGTTACAGACATGAGTTTCAAAAGGCACACCAAGGCACAGGCTGGGGTCTAACCTACCACACTCTCCACTAAACACAAATCAATAAGCTACTGGAAGTGGTATTTCAGGCAAGAATTTTGCAGAAATAAATAAAATAATGTAGAGTGGGTGTTCTAGAATGGATTCAGAAACAGCAATAATCTGGACAAGAAAGCTACAACTGATTTTTTGGTTAGCTGCCCTCTCCTGCAAGAAGCCTGAAGGGAATTAAGTTCATACAAGAAATATTCTCAGTAAGAGCTCTGAGAGCTCTCTCCTGTCATGACTGCTGACCTGTAGGGAAATTGCAACACCTGGACAGTGCTCCTGGCTGCTCTGTACATGAGAGAAGAGACCAATTAGCACTAAAGGAGTTCTCCATGGTGCCTTTACAGGGATTTCACCACAGCTGCCTGTTCTATTCATACCAGTCGTGTTTCATTTCAGAGTCCCTACAGCTCTGCTTGTGGGGGAGGTGAAACTCTACAAGATGCAAATCAAAAGGGCCTTGCTTTTGGTGATCTCCTAAGAAGAAAAGCGTTCCTGAGGGGACTATTGAGAATAAATGCCTGAGTTCCAGAGGGCACACAGTGTTCTCTGCAGTCTCTCTCTACATCCCCCATTTTTCTGTCAGGACTAACTTGCCACCATGACTTGACTGTCTGCTCTGAGGGCGGCTCAAATTCCCACCTGCTGGTGTCCTTGTGCCAAGAGGTAGCAGCACCTTCTGCACAAGCAGGACAGAGGATAGCGCAGGTAGCGCGTCCCGTTATCCGCGCACGCACACCGCATAATTTATCAGATTGATAAGTGATAAGGGAACTGGGTTACACGGCTATAAATATGCAGCAGGGTTTGGGCACTGCAAACACGAATTAAACAAGAGTGACTGGCATTAACATTATTTGTCAGGTGCTGCCAGCAGGCTCAACGCTGACGGTACCACACACAGATGGTGCCAGCACTCAGGGCGAGGGTTTGCAGCCTGAACTGCAAACCTAAGGAGCGATCTAAAGGAGCAAAAGCCACCACGAGCATGATTTAAAGAGAAAATGGTATTCTACAGATACTTGTCATGCCATGCTAGAAGTGGGTGTTCAAGGAGGATTTGAAGATCATGAGTGCTTTCTGCACTGGAATGAGGATGTTGTTCCAGGTGTACAGATGGTACATAGGAGCAAAGGCAGAAGTGGGAAAAACCTGAAATGAAGAAGGAGGCTGGTATTTCTGGCTAAAGGGAAATGGAACAATGAAGCATGAAACACAATTTATGACATAGATGGGGGGAATGCCTTTCTCATTTGTGAAGGGCAGTATGAGAAGAGAAAACTAATTTTTTTCACAGATCCTTCATCTGTTCATTGGAAGATACTAGAAACACTTAAAAAAAAAAAAAAAGCTAAGGAATAATCTATTCTAGGTAAATACCAGCCATAATATATGCATCAAATCTGGCAGTCCCTAACTGCAGCTTAGGAAAGAATTTTCCTAATAGCTGGCTTGCTGCAGTGAGAGCTGTCATTCCTCAGACTTGATTCTTGTTTTCAGTGCATGTAACAGGACTTTGATTAATACCCTGCTAAATATTAATGTAATTAAAATTAAATTAGCTTTGGCAAACAGATTAACAAAGCATGCACTCAAATGTATTCGACCTAGCTTTAATTGAATTTATTCACTTTCTTGCTAATCAGAGTCCATAACTCACGACGGTCCCTGAGCACACAATATTTACCACTCTTTAATGTTTTACTTTGATGTTTGGATATTACCTTGATAATGTAATCCTGGAATATTCCCCCTAAAGCTATCCATTAATCTGTAATCTACAGATGGGAAACAGCGAGGTGAGGAAACTTGTCCAAAAGCAGGTGGTGAACGCCTGTCAGGGAAGGTAAGAGGGCCCAGGAGTCCTGACTCATCGTCGTTAACACATGCTGGAGAATTCTCAAGTCAGTGCCTACAGAAATCTGTATTCACTCCTTCCTCTTCTCCCTCCACACCAGCCAAGGGTGACAGCTCTGGGAGAGGAGCAGCCCGGTGCAGATGGCAGCGGGAACTCCGCGAGGTGCCTTCCCACTAGATGGCAATGCAGCCCTGCCTGTCCCTGCCGCACCCTCGGAGGCCGGGATGGGCCTGCCAAGGCCAGCCCGCCGCGCATCCCTGGGGGATAATAGGATTGCCTTTGTCTATTTTTACCCAACAGACAGAGATACTGGCAAGGCAACCTTTGCAGAAAGGATACAGAACTCAACGCTCATGGATACAGGCTTGGATACTATTGATTCCCTTTCCTTTATCATTTCTCAAAATAAACTACCCTCCTGTACACCTACTGTAACCTAATGGCTTTCTTTCCCTTTCTGCTCATTTCACTTTTTTGACATTTAGGGAAGAAACTGAAGAGAAATACACCAGAATAGAAAAGAACCTCTATGCTTCTTACAGGGATCCTAGCAGAAGAATACACGAACAAACTCAGCTTTGTTGCACATCTAGAGGAGGTGCATCTCTCATTTTTCATTCTCTCCCTAGCAGAGACCCCACAACACCCAGTATCTCAGCAAGCACCACAAGATTTTCTGAAGCAAGCTGTTCACAAGCATCTGAAATACCTCTTACATGCTAGACAACAGGCCAATAGAGTATACAGCCCTAATTATCAGAAAATAAAATTAGACAATTCTAAACTCAGTAACTATATCAATACCCCATTCAATAAATACCTCTTCAGTCTTTTTGCTGCAGGCTCAGTGTTCAACACAGACTCTGCTGGAGTTCTTGGCTCTGCAGGAACACAGAAGGAGACTTCCTTAGCAAAACAGACCATGCCACCTTGGGCGTGTTCCATATCTGAATAGCAAATGCCAATGAGGCTCTGTTAGAGCAAATAATACTAAATACTTGCTTATTCTGAATTTATGAGCTGCTCTGACAAGGTTAGATAATGACCTCAAATATTTGAGCTTTATTGCAATGTCACTGTATGAGGTGTTGATCAAAAACAGAAATATGTGTTTGTATCTAGTAAATGGGTCTCAGTCCTGTACCTAAGTGACAAGAGCCATGATCATGGGAAATTAATATAAGCCAAGGTGGCACATCTACCTGACAGCAACCAGTTAATAAGACAGTTTTCACTGCTGCATATTCCCTGGTCACAACCTCATCACAGCCTGCAGTTTTAAATCGTGCACTCCTCAGTCAGAAATGACATTCCCACATCTGTGTTGTATCTGACATCAAGATACTCAGTGCCAGCAGTTTCTGTTTTGACAAGTGGGGCACCGGGACTTTCAACTCATCTTTTTCTTAGCTCATTGTAACTGGTTCTGCTTGATGAGTTTGGCTGCATGAGATATTGACTTCAGCATGGGTAAGGACATGTGAAAGCTTTAATTTCAGACCAGTTTTCTTTTCCCCCCCATCTTAAACAGAGCTCAGTGTCAAAAGGGACTTCTGAGAGGCATCCATGCAAGACAAATGGACTAGGTTCATAAAAAAAACCAAACAGGTAAAATGGTACATGATGCACATAGCAGAGGGCTATCAAAACAGTTAAAGTATTTACAATTAGAGAGAAACATAGCTGATTAAGCCTAAAATCATCTCCAGTTTTTGCTGCACGACTAGTCAAGATATGTTTATCATATTTGCAAGCAGTTGTTTCACTACAGGCTCCCCCTTACCTGTGGATGGTGAGGAATTGTTCTGCTCTGACCCTGCTTGCATTCCCTCTGCAATTTCCATTTTGTCATCACCTTGAGTCTGAGATGAAGAACCAGGATCCAGTTCCCGCTTCCTGTCAGGAACCCTCTGGAAGTCCTGCAATGGGCAGAGAGTCACTGCCTTCTCTTAGTCCTTAACATACACTGCCTAAAGCACCAGAGTTCTACTGTGGGGCAGGAACAGAATTCCAGTGATAATGCAAAGGAATAGATGGCTCACAATGGACTGCCCCACCTAAGGCAAGCTTACATGGTCAAAGAGAGAGAGGTATTTCAGTTCCACAGGCAGCCAGGACACGTCCCAGTGCTTTAAGCAGCAGCTGTAGGAAATCCAGCTGCTTGCAGAGGGTAGGATCATGCTAAAGAAACTCTGGCAAGAGGTACATGGGCAGGGAAAAGGATAGTCCAAAATAATTCCCCTTCTTTTGACTCTGGAGGACAGTCCAAGACTGCGAGTTTACCTTATCCACCACATCTTTTTGACAGAATAGGATGAAATATGGCAAAGCTAATCTAAGAGGAAGCAAGTAGCAGTCAACCCTAGAACCATTTCCAGGATACAAAAGAGGTCTTAATTATGGAAAGTGAGAAAGGTTTTCACAAAACAAGAACTGTAGATTTTACAAAATTCACAAGGAAAAATATGAGTCTGATCTTGAAAAGTGGAAAACAGCCCAAAGATGCAGAGTGTCCACAGTAGGAGCAATTTGTTTGGGAATAACAAACTGCTGTGGAACAGCAAAGCACTTAGCCAGGATTTCTTCTGTTGTAATTACTTTTAAGCTGATACCTCTAAAGGCTCCTTTTATATCCCAGGTTTAAACAGTTCTATCATGGAGAATTCTCTCTCTTGGGCAAGTAATGACAAGAAACCTTTGCATTGTAAATGTAAATATGGACCACAAAAGCCTTTGGGATGGAATGATTTCTGCATTTCTGTGTCAGCAGCATGGCGCAAAACATTATTTTCTTTGTAATGCTGTCTCCCTTCCCCTTTGTACTCCGCCTACTGTACACTCAACAACTGCAAGTTGCAGGAGCACAAAGCTCCCAGCAGCTGGAAAGCACAGCCCCACCTTGCGGAAGGTCCGGTTCTGCCGCTGGAATGGGAGGCTGGGGAAGCCCAGCCGAGTCGGCTTTAAGGAGACCCCAACAGGTGGCGGTCCCAGGAGGGAATGTCTTGTAGCCTGAGGGAAGAACTGCTGCAGTGCTGGCGCTGTCATGTTAAATCCACGCAGGTTTCCTATAAATGCAAACACAGCGTTTCACCACCCTGTGCTGCGCAAAGAGAGAGAAAATCTTCCACCTGAACAAGCAGCAGGTGGGGAAGGGGAGGGGAAGGGTTCCTCTACACATGACCCTGTCCTTTACTGGGCACTGCAGAGGTGCTCTGTGCTCTGCCCTCTTCAGCACACAGAATGATTTGATGTGATAGCAACCATTACTATGGATCAGGCTATTTAATTATAATTGCCACTCCAGGCAAAGATCATTAGAGCAATTATTTGATCTGAGCACATTAGCACTCGTGTTTGCAACAAACAAGGTCTTGTTTTACAAAAATTCTCTGTAAAAAAGGAAAATTCACCCCACATTTGTGCAGCTGACTGCCCACACCATAGCTTGAAGCTCTTTAAAACAAGCCACTAAAAGCATTTCATTTAAAACAACACCGAACTTAAAAAAAAAATCCCACAGTCCTCTCTGCCACCTGGTTGTCATGCAAGCTCAACAACTCTGACACTTGAGACTCTGCCATTTCCAATTACAATGCTCTGCTTTCTGAACAGTTCAGCATCCACAGACTATTAACCAAGTGTCAAAAATTTCTTCTGAAGACAGTCCTTGTCACTCCCATTTCAGGTGTGAGGGAATGGAGAGGCCCAGATGCCTCAGCTGTACCCTCAGAAACCATCCATCATTCAGGGAACCTGGACTTAAATTGCCATTTTTTCTCCCTCACTTGAATTAGTGCCCACTCCAGCCTTTTAGCAGCTGTCAAAACAGGGTAGCAAAGTTTGGAAACAGGCACCCAACACCTGAAAAACCAAGCTACACTCCTAAAAGTCAGCAACACAATAGGAAGTACTCCCTATGTTTGTCTTCAAAAGCAATCTAATCTATTATTACTTCCCATATTTAATCCCTTACTGTAAAAGGGCATAGCTATATTAAAAAAAAATTAAATCTAACAGAAGAAATCATCTTCTGCTCTCAGTTTGACAACATTAAAGAACCACACATCTGTTTCAATTTGAAGTATTTATCTTTTCCTATTCCCACTGCTGAAGCCACACACAGCCAATGAATTATTTATGCTGATGCTTCCCAGGGACAGAAATGGCACAGCATCAGATATTCTTACATGTAACCCAAACCTGAATGGCCAAAAAATTCATATCCCTAAAAAGGGCCACATGGACATTGGCAACCATATTCCTTGTTACCTGTGGCTACCTGAGGTAGGTGACTAAGAGAAGCCACAACTCCACGGAGAGGTGAAGAGGAGCAACACTAAGATAAAGTGCATGTAAAGTGCTCATTAACATATCTTATCCTGCTCTATCTAATTAGCCCCAAGGCCTTGGCACACTATTTAAATACAACTCCTCAATAAAAGATTCAGGGAAAAACGTCAGCTGCAAACATATCTAGAAGGAGCATGACTGGCTGAAGGCTGGAGTCACAATTTTTCCTGATATATGTACACCAATCATCAGAGTATGGCTGGTCCTTTCTCACTGTCACTTTCCCTTCAACCTGAGAGAGATCTGTGGAGAGCCACTGGAGTCACTAGAGAGCCCTCTCATTAAATGGGCAAGAGAGAACAAAAGGAGAGTTAACGACATGCAGAATAAATCTTTTGTCTTCACATCTGGACATGATTCATAGGCAAGGTAGAAATTGCAGGCATTAATCTAGACTAGGCATTTGAAAACTATCTCAGGTACTGATTTTCTGTGTTGAAAAGAACTGTCAGGTTAAGACATGAGCAAAAAATAAAAACATTATCTTTATTCCTATTATCTTTACATTAGTAATTCTATTATTAAAGCAGCTTCATAATTTGTTTTGAAAATACCAAAAGAAAAGGAAAATCCACTTGTGGAAACACAATAATGGAAAGACAGGGATATTGCCCACCATAGAAATTACAGTCATTTCAGGGAAACAAAAAATCACAATACAATTGACACCCAAACCGTCTTCTACCTTAATATACTGCGTTTGTTTGTACTGCACTAACTTTGGACAAAGAAAAGAATCTACTGCAAACAAGGTTAGTGTGTACGTAACAGATAATTAAATAAATAGCCTTAACCTTGTAACCAAGAAAGACAAACAATCAAAATCTCAGTATCTGATCTAAATATATTGATGAAAAAATACTTGCTCCATCACACCTAAAAGGGAAGGCATGTATTCAGTATCTAACCTGATACCTCCTAGTGCTATTCCCAGTTGTGAACAGCTGGGCACACGTGATTTTCAACAACTGAAGAGCCTCTGTTCTGAGGACTAGGGACTAATTTAAAGAGAAGATGGAAGAAAAAAAAAAAAGACAACAAACAGAACTGCCAAGCACAAGAACTGCACTGGTTCAGCAGGAAATAGCCATGGTATGGTTTCAGTCCAAGAGGATGATTAAATAACTCCAGTAAGTAAGCGTTTCCCATAACGACAGTACCTTGCATCTGCTGCATGAGTAAGGCCCGCTGAAGCATAGGATTGGCACTGAGCAGCGATGGCTGATTTGTTGCCCGTAAGCTCAGCATCTGTTGCTGCTGCGGCGGCGGCAAACCCCTGGAAAAGACGGCATCAATCATGAGAGCCCAATAAAAACTGTACCCTTCCATTCCAGGCATAAAAGAGAGGGGCAAATAGCTGAAAGGCTGATATACATGCATGAAAAGACACCATGCGCTGGCACTGTATCCTCTTTCCTCCACTCTCCTGGAATTTCCAAAGCTGACAGATTGTCTATCAAAGAATTTGAGGTCAGAGACAACTCCTTAGCACCAAGCCCACATAGAGCCTCCCAAGCAGCATAAAAAAAGCCCAGGAGCTGACTGCGGTTCTACAGAATTATGCAGCACCCGTCAGGAGAAATGAGTGATCTAGATCAGCAGCTACATTTAACACGACAACAAAAAAGTTCTAAAAAACAGGGAGTTTTTGCAGTAGCTTAGAGCTCATTTTCCCAAAATCAACACCTCCCACACGGAGCCAGACAGGTCAGAACTGTCAATGGTGCCCCCTAACTGCAAGAACCAGATGGAAAAATAAAGCACGGCCTTCATATTTAAAACACGAAGAGGAAGAAGCAGCGGGGAAGAACTCTCCAGTTCTAAGGAGGGTGGAGCAGACGTGAGAGAAAAGTCTGAGGAAACTGGCAGGCACTTCTTGAGGCGATTGCAAGGTCAGGCCCACCTCTATGCACGCTGCTGACACAGCTGAATCTGACAGAGCTGAAGAGAGGTACAAACAGGATCGAAATATCCACCCTGACAAAAAAACCCAACCCCTTTAGCAGAATTCACAGCAGCTCATCTTCACATTTGCTGCTCTAGATTGTTCCAGTCTCTGAGCAAAGATATTTATACCGCAAAAATCATACTTTTAAAGGTGTAAGATGCAGCCGTGCTATCTAGCAGTCAGCCCCTTACTGGCATTTTAAGTGCAGCTTTTTTTATAGCATAAAATATATAAAAATGGTAAAAAGATTTGCAGGTTCATATTTTGAGTAAAACAGAAAATTTCCCACTCTTTCCTCAGAGACAAATGCCTTATAAGGATAAAGTAATACAATAATTCCTTAAATAACAAATTAAATTTCTTCCTAAATTCAAATCCCATTGCTTTGAATTTGCAAAGAATAAGTCTTTAAAGATAACAGTAACTGCAAATAAATGCATTATTTCGGAGAATTTGTGTTGGTTCTACAGATCTCAGTTCATCGGGGACAACTGCTCCTATTTAAGTTATTTCACATCTTGCATTTTTTAGGAAAACCGTGGTTATTTTCTGGCAAATGTTCTTTCTCCTTTCACAAACAAAACACAATTTTCTCCATCCCGTCCCTGCCCCACCGTGCTCAGCCTTAGAGCTGGTGCCATTGCAGAAATAAGTTCAATCATCGCACCCACAGCAGCAGACCCAGCCAGAGAAAGCAAATAAATAAACACTTTAAGTTCAACAATAAAACAATAAAGTGCTCGTGTCTGCTGAGGGTGGCTCTGCTGAGTGCTGCGTTTCTGCAGGAGAAGGCGTTTTCCCCGAACCCCGGCTGCCCTGCCCTGCCCGCCCTGAGGGGCTCGGAGCATCCACCCACCCAGCGCTCCCACACGGACTGCCCGGGTCACCCACGGGCTCTCGGGGACTCCAGCCCCGGAGGGCGGACAGGGATCCCGGGAGCGCTGAGCGGACACGCAAGACCCCACAGGCGCCGCCGCCCTCCCTCCCACACCCCCGGCCCCCTCGGTGCCTCCGGGCTCGGCCCGATCGCGGCCCGCGCCCCCCAATCCCCGCCCGGCTCCCTTTGTCGCCTTCCCCGCCAGGCGAGGGCAGCCCCGCACCGGCCCCGCCGCGGCGAGCACGGACGGAGCGCGGGGAGGCGGAGGAGAGCGATCCCCCGGGACAGGCCCCGGATCCCCGGCCTCGCGTAGCGGCGCTTACCGGCCTCCCTGCTGCGCCGGAGGGTGGTGATGGTGCTGCTGCTGCTGCTGCTGGAGGAGGTGCTGGAGCTGCAGCAGCTGCTGCTGGAACTGCTGCTGGTTGAACATGTCTGGGGAGCCCCGAGCGAGGCGAGCCTGAGACAAAATACGGGAGGGCGAGGGAGGCACCGGCTGCGGGGCTGGCGCGTATCAGCCCAGCAGCCATTGAGGAGAGGAGCCGCCGCCGCTGCCGCCCATTCATTCACTGAGCCGATCCCCCCCTGCCGCCTCCTCCTTCCCCCCGGGGTCATCGCAAGCGGCAGCCTGTGGAAGAGGTTTCCAAACCCCACCTCCCAAAACCCGCTCCCACCCTCCCCTGCCCGCCGCGGGGCCGCTCCGGGACCCGCAGCCGCTTCCCGTCCCTTCGCCTCCTCGCCCCGCCGACACTCACGGCGCAGCCCGCGGCGATCACCGCTCCCCGCCCGCCGCCTCCATCTTCCCGCCGGGGACAACAAGCACCTGCCCGGCCCCGCTGCCCGGCCCAGCCCAGGCGGGAGGCAGCTCCTTGGGCAGGGCTGCGGGACAAGGCCGCCCCCGCGGGGCTGGGGATCACCCCCGGAGCCTCCTCTCAGGTCGCCCCGGCCCGCAGCACCTCCATCCCTCATTCCCCGCGCAGAGGCGGCATTGAGGTTCCCTGTCCCTCGAGAGGGCTGGGAGGGAATGGACACCATCTGCCCAGGGCTGGGCAGGGAATGGAATAAACTGCTGCACAGGAGCAGCAGATGGCATCCAACAGCGTGGGCTTTCTGCTCTTTGTTGTTTTTTTGGTTTTTTTTAAATAGTCCAGGGGAATCTTTGGTAACCATCTCACCGAGAAGATGGAAAAAACCCAAAGCAGCCTCTGGCCATTTGCTGTGGTCACATCTTGGCAAGCCTATTATGAAAACCTGGAAAAAAACAAACAGGGACTTTTGTAATATTGCTTTATACTGTAGACTGAGATGACTTCTCTAGCAGGTCCGTCCCCCTTTTTTTTTTTTTTTTTTTTTTTTTGGTTTGTTTGTTTGCTTGGTTTTTTTTTTTTTTTTGGCAGGGGGTGGGTTTGCAGCAAAACCTTTCGTGCACAGCTTATTTTCCATAGCAAAATTAATTTTAAGCACTTTCAGTACACACAGGCTCTCTATAAAAATATACTGTGACTATCATTTCTTCTTATGCTAAACCTCACAAGGATCAAGATGCATTTCTGATCCTTGCTATTCTAGAGAATCCATCCTGAAATAATTTACTTTATAGTCTTTTTATTCATGCCAGTAAAGACTACTTGATTCATAAAGTCCTTGGAATTGATTTTTACCTGAAAGCATTGTAGGCTGAACACAGACAGTTACTGGTGATATATAGTTATAATTAATAATTTTAAATGCAGCAGCAGCATATGTTGATTTTTCCTTTGGTTCTTTTTATACCATCCTGATTTTGCAATCATCAATTTGGAGATGACTATCCATATTAATCAATGTTCGTGTCCAGAGCCCTTTAAGGCTGTCTGCACACAGAGAAAATGCTTTCCTGTTAAGCATGGAAACTTAAATGTCGTCCTAGGGAACACACACACAGAACAAAAAACATGCATGGAGTCTTTTAAAAATCATTTTGCATAGTTCATCCTCTGCTCCTGTAATGGTGCTGTTACAGCAGCCACTGGCCTGGCTGGTTTGCAGCAGAGGGGGTGAGGGTTAATCCTACAATCCCAGTACAGAAATCAGCCAGGCCTGGGAAAGCCAGAATTCAGGTTGTATAGATAAATGTAAACGTGAAATTGATGTCCTCTGTTCTTAAATCTACAACTAAAGCTCTTGTAAGTATTCTTTGTATGTTCCCTTTGGAAATTTACAAACCGCTTACTAATGAAACATACAAGTAACTAAGTTTCTTCACTGTCAGATTTTACGTTCTGACATAGTCTACAGGCTCCCCTCATAGACTGGGCTTTTCTCTCTGAAACCCTACATACAAATAATTAAATAAACAACATTTTTGAATTTATAAATAGTCCATAGGTCTACTGCCTTGAACACAAATCTGGACATGGATTTAGTCCTGTGCCTGCACAACACAAGACAGGACCATGGTTATAGGAAGCAAAGAAAGATGTGCTGCTCCATCAACTTACAACCCAAACTGATTTCAGACATGCCTTTATGTCCAAATGTGAACCTACCTATCAGAGAGGGTTTAATTGAATGCAGAAGAGAAAGCCCCAGATTCAGATAATCAAACCATTTAGTTTGAAAGTCATACAGAGATATAAGGGAACTGCAGAAAATTGGGTTAGGATCCTTTCCTTCACTACAAGCAGCAAAACAGCGTGTCAGGCTGACAGCTGAAAGGTGCTGTCAGTGCCTAGTGGTCATTGGAACACAGACCTTGACCTCCCATCCACTGACAGTTGTTTTTTCCTGCAAAGAACATCTCCCTTTCAATAATTAAGCAACTCACTACTCAGTGTGCAGTGGCAAATAAAGCTCTTAATGGGAGAATACACAGAACCTTAATAAGAGCCACAATGCAGACTACAGCACTATCACTCAAAACCAACCCATGTATCCCCTAGGCTTGAGAGTGCCTCCTTGGCAATGGGAGTGAATAAAACAGAGTAAGATTTAGAAGTTCAGGCTAAGAGAACAACCCAGAAAGCCTCCTGCAATGCAGAGACTGTAGCCAGTGCAGTTGGTGGATCATGACTATAAGGCAACCTGCTCTACACCTCTGTATGATTAGATCAGGGTTATGAAATCTGTTGGCAGATAAGAGGACAGAGCATATGAATGCTTTTTATTAGGAGATGGATTGTATTATACAGCCAAGTTTTTGCTGGGCTATATGAATTTTTTCCAGGGACTGGATCAGGCATGCAGATAACCAGAGATTTCTAATTTCCAGCATATGACTGCACTGTGCAGTTTTATGTTTTAATTTAGGCTTTGAAAAAGACTTGGTATGCAACCCTTGGTGAAGCCACATCACTTTTGAAAACCCAAGTTTTCTCAGTGCCTATGACAGCACCAACATACTGCGGTGCCCACAATTTCCTCTGCAATCTGCAAGGATGGTGTGATTACTCATCCATTTCACCAGGATATAACTAGTTCTCACCATAATGTGTTTAAGCCTCACAAACTTCTCGGAGAAAAAGCATATGGAGCTTGAAAGTACTTTCTTCTCCTGGTTTGGGGGCCTATCTATTGAAAGAATGGGTCAGGTTTCACCAGACATGCTCTTAACAGCTGACATTAGTTACTGGAATTACACTGTTTTCCATGTCTGTTTTATCTGGAGGATGACTGGATTCACACAACATTTCAAACCAAAATGATCTGTGAATTAAAGGATGTTTTCCCTTGTTCTTTGTAATATAGTTCTAGAAACCTATTCTTGATATATCTTGATGGGCAGGACAGGCCCACAAGAGCTAAAGATAGTTTTTATATCCATTTTACCACATGTTCAATCAGCTCCTATTAGTGATTTTCAGTCTCACAAGGTAAAATACATACCAGAAGCCATTTTATGACATCTCACTAGATGCAGAAAGCACAGAGAACTCAGCTTTGTTGCTCTTAAAATATTAATTTAAACTCATATCCTTGTGCAGATCCCATTCTTATTGGAGTATAACATTCAGCTTCTTTCTTTCCTTATGTATACTCTGGCTTCTGGAGAGTCACACTCACAATAATACTGTCTTAGTGTCTTATGCACCAGATTTATCTTCTTTTACCTCTTTTTGGGGGATCTGCACATCAATTCAGTTTAAGTACAGAAGATGAAGAAGCATTTCACTATGTTATTCTACCAATAAAATACAATATATTTGAAAATTCAAAAATTAAAGGCTCTTTTTCTTACAAATAGCTTTTGCAATTAATAGGAGCATTAAAAATAATTTTTTTTTCTCTGAGGAACTGATACCACAAGAGATCAATGATGTTACTATGGTACCATTACTACTATAGTAGCACTTAAGTACCTATAAAATAGATACTTAAGCATTTTCTATATCTATAGGCACCTTTAGATAGTTATGAAAATTTAAGAAGCTAATTTTAGTTAACATTTTAAACTATTGATCAGCTGTATTATGTAGTATTAGTATGGACAATGACAATCCTAGGCCAGTTTCTTTTTGGAACTTTTAACCTCTGCTTTTAAACATTAAATTTAAATTCTTACCTGTGTTTATAACTATTTTTAGGAACCCAAAAGGCCAGAATTGTCCACTTCAAGACCCACAGTGAAATATTCTAAACATTCATACTACCTGGAGTCAGCAGAAACATTTTGCAAGTAACTTAGAGACTCATAAGCTGATTGCATTCCACATTTTTGCCTCTTTTTTACTCTGAGGACTAGATATGTTATTTTTGCAAGGGCAAGGAATGAAGGACAGAATCCAGCTCTCAAATGTCTATTTCTAATTATGCTAACTAAACTGGGAGTCCTATTTGCATGAGGTGACAAAATCAGCATACACAACTGTGGTAATGTTGATAGCCATACATAGAAACACACATATGCTTGGCCACATGCACTTTTAGGGATTCATGTTAAAGTACATTCAGAAATATTTATAGCACTGGTGTGGGGGGGGAATGTTTCATTCCTCTTGTTTTTCTTTGTTCACATCTTCAGTTTTTCTACTAAGATTAAAAAAAAAAAAAAAAAGGTTTTTCCTATTAATTCCAGTTACTGAAATACCTTTTGTTTTTCTTGCTCTGTCTGCTACACGCTGCTGAGTAAGTCACAGGTAGGAGGTATTACAGAATCAAAAGGTTTGTTTGCTGAGAACATCCTTGGAACTCAGTTTGTGGCAGGAGAGAAAATGGAAGGCTCCAGGAGCGACTCCGAGTGCCTGCAGTTCACTTTTTCATCAGCGGGAGGTGCAGGTTTGTAACGCTTCAGAAAATCCAAGCCTGGCTGCCCGGGATGCTCGAGGTCAGTCTCTCCGGGCTGAGCGGCTGCAGAAGCGTTCAGACTTCACACCGTAAATGAGTGGTTTGGGGTGACAATGCAGGCAGACACTGGAGCTCATTTTGCTTACAAATATCTCTGCAGGACAAAGAAGCCGGAGCAGATTCTGTGCATCTCTCAGTTTTACAGGAATATTGATCCATGTAAAGGTCGCCAATATTCTGCATGTTTTCCCAATGCCATCATTCCTTTTGTTCCTTTCTTGTGCACCTGGAGAGCACACTATTAGCTCCCCTCATCCCTCCTGTCAGTTTTGCCCTTT